TTTCCATTTTTTTTCAGTTGTTCAAAGTATTGGCATATAATAATTCATATTTTCTCTTATGAGCCTTACAGGCCAGTGTCCTCAACAAAAAACTCTTTCATTTCTGATTTTATTTATATATTGAGCCTTCTTTCTTGTTTTCTTGGTGAGTGTAGCTCAAAGTTTTGTCAATTTCATTTATCTTTTTGAAGAATGAGCTTGTAGTTGCATTGATCTTTTCTATTGTTCTTAGTTTCTATTTTACTTTTTCTCTGATCTTTCCTTCCTTCTACCAACCTTGAGCTTCATTGGTTCTTCTTTGTCTAATTGATTTAGGTGTAAAGTCCTATCATTTATTTGAGATTTTTTCTTGTTTCTTGAGTTATCACTATACACTTCCCTTTTTAGAACTGCTTTTGCTGCATCCCATTAATTTTTGAATGTTGTATTTCTGTTTTCATTTTTTTCAAGGTATATTTTGATTTCTCCTTTGATTTATTTAATGACCCTTTGGTTGTTTAGTATCATGTTGTTTAACCTCCACACATTTGTGATTTTTTCAGTTTTCTTCCTGTAATTTCTAGTTTTATATCATTGTGGTCAGAAAAGCTGCTTGATATTATTTTAATCTTCTTAAATTTATTGAAACTTGTTCTGTGGCCTAATGTGTGATTTATTTTGGAGACTGTTCCATAAGCAGTTCAGGAGAGTGTGTATTCTGCTGCTTTTATTTTTTATTTATTTTTATTTTTTATTTATTTATTTTTTTTGAAAGATACTTTTTTTAAGATTTTATTTATTTATTTTTAGAGAGGGAAGGGAGGGAGATAGAGAGAGAGAGAGACAGAAACATCAATGTGCGGTTGCTGGGGTTTATGGCCTGCAACCCAGGCATGTACCGTGGCTGGGAATCGAACCTGGGACACTTTGGTTCCCAGCCCGCGCTCAATCCACTGAGCTACGCCAGCCAGGGCTTCTGCTGCTTTTAAATGGGACATTTTGTATATTTCTATTAAGTTCATATGGTTTAATGTGTCATTTTAGGTTACTGTTTCCTTGATTTTCAGTCTGAATGATTTCTCCATTGATGTCAGTCTCTTACTATTGCACTGATGTCAGCTTCTCCCTTCAAGTCTGTTAATATTTGCTTTACATATTAAGGTACTTTTATGTTGGGTACATAAACATTTACAAATGTTATATCCTCGTTGAATTGACTCATCATTATGTAATGTCCTTCTTTGTATTTTATTGTAGTCTTTGTTTTAGAGTCTATTTTTTTTCTGAGGTAACTATAGCTACCCCAGCTTTCTTTCATTACCATTTGTGTGGAATATCTTTTTCCATCCCTTCACTTACAGTCTATGTGTGTCCTTAGGTCTGAAATGAGTCTCTTATAGGCAGCATATGGATGAGTCTTGTTGTTTTTATGCATTTATCCGCACTATATCTTTTGATTGCAGAGTTTAGTTCACTTATATTTATTTATTGACAGTTATGTGCTATTGCCATTTTGTTTTTCTGGCTTTTTTTTTGTAGCTCCCTTTTTCTTCTCTTGCTTTCCTCCTGTGGTCTGATGAATTTCTGTAGTGCTATGTTAATATTTATCTTTTGTTATCTTTTGTATATCTACTTAGGTTTTTTTTTTTTTGTGGTTACCATGAGGTTCACATATAGTTGTATATATAACGGTCTATTTTAAGTTGATAGCAACTTAGGTTTGAATGCGTTTTTAAAACTCTACATTTATCAGCCCCCCATGTTTTGTTTTTAATATCATGTTGCACATAATTTATTTTGTAACTATTTATTGTAGTTACAGTCAATTTTATACTTTTGTCTTTAACTTTCATACTAACTTTATAGATGGTTAATCTACTACCTGTAATGTATATTTACTTTTACTTATTAGATTTTAACTTTCATATGTATTTACTTGATGTGCCTTTTATTTTTTGTTTAAAGAAGTCCCTTTAACATTTCTTGTAAGGCTAGTTTAGAGGTAGTGAACTCCTTTAGCTTTTACTTGTTCGGGAAACTTGATCCTTCCATATGAGTAATAACCTTGCCAGGTAGAATGTTCTGGTTTGGAAGCTTTTTCCTTTAAGCACTTTGAATATGTCATGCCACTCTCTTCTGACCTACAAAACTTCTGCTAAGAAATCAGCTCACATTCCTATGGAGGTTTCCTTGCTCATAATAACTTGTTTTCTCTTGCTGATTTTAAGATTCTCTATCTTTAACTTTCAACATTTTAACTATAGTGTGTTTTGGTGTGGGTCTTTGGGTTCATCTTTGAACCTCTCAGTGCTTTCTGGACCTGGGTATCTGTTTTTTTCTCCCAAGTTAGGGAAGTTTTCTGCATTATTTATTCAGTTTTTTTCTGCCCCTTGCTCTCTCTCTTCTCCTTCTGGTATCCCTATAATGTTATTCCACTAGATATTGTCCCATAGGTCCCTTATGCCATCTCCATTTAAATTTTTTTTTTCTTCTCAGTTAGAGTGAGTTTTACTACTTTGTCTTCCACATTGTTGATCTGTTCTTCTACTTCATCCAGTATGCCACTGAACTTTTCTAATATATTGTTCAGTTCAGTTATTCTATTCCTCAGCTCTGTGACTTTTGTTTTGTACTTTCTTATATTACTATCTCTTTGCTGAAATTCTCATCCATTCTTTTCTTGAGTTCAGTGAGCATCTTTATGACCATTACTTTGAACTCCAATAGGTAAATACTGATATGTATTTCATTAAGGTTTTTGTCTTATTCTTTCATTTGAAACATGCTCTCTGAAACATGCTCTCCTAACTCCACCTGCCTCTCTTGTTTGTTTCTATGTACCAGGAGGAAGAGCTTTCTCTCCCAGTCTTGAAAGAGTAGCCCTGTGTAGGAGAGGAAAGTTATTGTTTAACCTTACTCATTCTCTTAGTTGTCTCTCCAACCTGTGTGATCGTGTAAGAAGCCTGAGTTAATTTTAATGGGCCGCAGCTTTTGAGGATGTGCCAAGACCTAGGAGTGTTCCAGAGGGAGAGATCTCAGTCAGTATTTAGTTTCGGGCTGAGTGGAAGCTACCCTGGAGGCAACAGCTTTTAAGGCATTCAGCAAATTTACACAACACTGTGGGATCACAGTTTTGAACCCTGCTGGCTTCCAGACCAGGTGATCTAGAGGTTTCCCCTTGGTGATTGCTATAAAAATTGGGACTCCTGACAAATCCCTTTCTGGGAGGTACCGGTGAGCTATAGAGAAGTAAGGGAGAGAACAAAGATGATGTCCTCCAGCCTACGCACCCTGAGAGCACTTCCATGACCTCTACATGTGTGGTGTACTTGAAGCCTACCCCTTGGGCTGAAGCTCCAGGACAAGTAAATAGGTCTTTTTTTTTTCCCCCCACAGGAATACAGAGAATGTGTTTCAGTCTGCTGTTTTGGGGGCTTGAGGGTGGTAACCTGCCAATAACTGTTTTCCTAATCGTTTCAGACACATGGGGCTCAGAAACACAATCCTGTCTGGTCACCAGGGCCAGGCACTCACGAGGCATCCCCTGTGTGGATTGCATGTACCTGCTAGCCTTGGCAGGGCCACGGGAATGATTGATGGGGCCATGGGTGTGACACAAGGTCAGGGTGTGTCCCTGGTGCTAACAGGTTAGAGGGAAAATGTAAAACTTGTGCTCACCAGTGCCAGTGGTAGCAAGGTAGAGAGAGGATGCAAAAGTGATCCTCACCAGCACCCCTGTTCCTAGAGAGGGTTCCAACAGGTTCCTGCCTCTCTGGTAAATGCTTTAATATTAGTAAATTAATTCCTTCACATATGGTCTAGGTGCTTTTTAACTGACTGTTTTTGCACTAGGTCCCTGGGTGAGTGAGTCTGCTTCAAACCCTTTAAAAGTGAAATCTCCATAACCTCCAGCCCTGTGATTCTCCTGGACATAAGCCCCAATGGTTTTCAAAGCCACATGGTTTTGGGGCTGTGTCTCTAGTACAAGTCTGAAGGGTTAGGACGCCTCATGTGGGGAAAAAGCCCCTCACTTCTTGGGGAGGAACTGTGTATTTATGTCATCTCTCTTGTTCATGGGTTGCCATGCCAGGAATGGGGTTTTGGTAAGACCACCTCTCTCCTATCATCCCGATGTGGTCCTTCTATCCTTTGTTGTGTGGGAGCTTTTCAGCTAGTCTGCAGGTTCTTCCCAGAGGGAATCTATTCACATGTAGCTGCAGAATTTTGTTCATGGGAAGAGGTAAGTTCAGGATCTTCTTCCTGTGCTGCCATCTTGAACTGCCTTTGAATTTATTTTTATTTTTATGTTTTAGTACAGTGTGAGAGGCCACAACACTGCTTTACAGGCCATGTGGAAAATTGTTCTCAGGTCTTCAAATTTGTTAGTCACCACAAGTTTCAGGGTGAAAAGGATAATTTCTGTGAAATGTGAAGATATGGGAGCAAAGGAAAAATAATACTGAACAGGAGAGAATACAGGCTGAATTTTGGATTCTTATTGAGTTGGTTTTGGAGTAATAAGAAGTACATGTTTTCCTTAAGTATATTGTGTAGTTAACAACAATGTTTAGAAGACGAAAGGGGTCTTTAAATGAAGAGTTGTGAACATTTTGGGGCTCCTTCTGCCTGAGGAATATCATATACTTTTAGCTTTGAATCAGAACCATTGACATTTTAGTATCTAGTTATACTGCCATTTGCAGAAACATGGCTTTCCCAACCATATGATGAGTGAAAATTAAATGATTGCTTATCATTTAAGACCCTTAAATGAACATTATAAGAAAGTGGAGTGGTTAAAGAAATGGAAGAAGCATGAGCTTGATCGGGGATGTTGACTTGTGCATCACTCTGAATGAAGTGTTGTGATGCTTCTGGAAGACTGGGTTATTCATTATAAAGGCAGGACTGTTAGGGATCCCATCCTACAGCTGGGTATCATCCAACGATCTTTTCTGGTTGGAAAGACATGATTTTAACAGACTGGTAACTGATCACTTTTATCTCTGGTTTATTCACAGAAGACTGAATAAAAGAAGACCGTGATGGCACCAGCCCATCTGTGCAGTTTGTGTCTCCTCGCACTGTATTTGGTAAGAGAAGAGGTTGTTTTTATTTATAGGAATATTTTCTGCCATCCTGCTACTGCATACCGAGAGATCAATGGTTATCACTTTTTTGAAAAGTCTATCAACATTAAATCATATACAAAGGACACATAGTTTGACCCAATGTGATGTTTTTGATGAAATTACTACAAGTCATGTGCCTGTACTTTCTCCTCAGCTCTTAAAAGCCAATAGCACTTGGTCAAAGTTTAAAACAAATTTCTCTACTCAGGTTTAGACCTCTGCATATAGCTCAGGGAATCTGAAAATAAAGACATACCAATACATGTATTAGTCTAAGTCCTTTAATTGTGACTTGTTTTTTACTATGGCCATGAAAAATTACCACTGAAACACACACACAAAAGCATTTTTTCTATGTTCAACCTTGCTCTGCTGTGTGTGTGTATATATATATTTATATGTATATACATATATATTTATATTTATTTATTTTAGATTTTTCTAGTTAAATTTGTCTTTAGCCATTTGTTGAACTAACCCTAATGACTGACAAGCTTCTAGAAGTTGGAGCTGGATTAACCCTGGAGAAATATAACCTTTGACCTTGGGTAGATAATGAGGTGCCATCCTGATTTTACTGGTGAGATGCAAGCATGTCATATACTTGCCAATTTGTTGTATTATGGAGCAAGATTATGGTGAAGGCTTTGCTTTCTCTTTAGAAAAACACTGCCAGATGCCCATACCTCAAATCATGTATGCTTTTCTTCTGTGACACACACACACACAAACATGTCAAATTTCAAGTTCTAGAGAGCTTCCTAGAGCCCACATGGTTCAAAACTTTTACAGAGTGGAATAGAACTAAACTTGTGAAACTATCAGAGCCATCCTTCCAGGGTTGGAGGTGGAGGAGTGGATAACCTGCTGTTCAAACTTTATGAGCAATCTGCATCCTCAAAGACCAGGGGCTCAGTGCTTGTTTCTAGGACTGCCCAAAGTCTGGGTCAAACATCCCCACTTGACTTCCGTCTTCTTCCTACTCTCTTAAATGTCCTTTGCTCTATCTAGTATCATAGGGTTGTGGTGAAGTCATATCTAGGTTTAAACTTGGCACTGTAACTTGCAAGTGATAGGAACTTGGGTGAGTTACTTAAGTATTGAACCTTAGTTTTTTGCCCTGTGAAATGAGTCTGATAAGAGTACTTGACTCATAGAATGTTGTGGCAATTCAATGAGATAATGCATTTTTAAAGTCCTCATATTAGTGACTTGTACAGTCTAAGTATTTAATAAATATTAGCTATTATCATTATTATAGTGTTTTACAAGTATATTTTATTGATTATTCTATTATAGTTGTCCCAATTTTCCCCCTTTGCCTCCCTCTGTCCAGTACCCCGCTTCCCTCCAGCAATCCCCCCCTTAGATCATGCCCATGGGTCATGCATATAAGTTCTTTGGCTTCTCCATTTCCCACACTATTATTAATATCACCCTGTCTATTTTGTAGCTACCAATTATGCTTCTTAATCCCTGTACCTTTTCCTCCATTCACCCCCTTCCCCCTGCCCAATGATAACCCTCCAAATGATCTCCATTTCTGTGATTCTGCTCCTGTTCTGGTTGTTTGCCTGGATTGTTTATATTTGTTTGTTTGTTTTGTTTTTTAGATTCAGTTGTTGATAGTTGTGAGTTTGCTGTCATTTTATTGTTCATAGTTTTGATCTTCTTCTTAAATTAAGTCCCTTTAACATTTCATATAATAAGGTCTTGGTGATGATGAACTCTTTTAGCTTTACCTGGTCTGGGAAGCACTTTATCTGCCCTCCAATTCTAAATAATAGCTTTCCTAGATAGAGCAATCTTGGTTGTATATCCTTGCTTTTCATCACTCTGAATACTTTTTGCCAGTTCTTTCTTGCCTGCAAAGTTTCTTTTGAGAAATCTGCTGATAGTTGTATGGGAACTCCTTCGTAGGTAACTCTCTGATTTTAAGATTCTCTTTATCTTTAAACTTTGGCATTTTAATTATGATGTGTCTTGGTGTGGTCCCCTTTGGGTTCAGCTTGTTTGGGAGTCTCTGCTTCCTGGACTTGTATATCTATTTCCTTCACAAAATTAGTGAAGTTTTCTTTCATTATTTTTTTGAAATAAGTTTTCCATTTTTTGCTCTTCCCCTTCTCCTTCTGGCATCCCTACAATTAAGATGTTGACACATTTGGAGATATGCTAGAGTCTTCTTATACTCTCCTTGGTTTTTCAAATTCTTGTTTCTTCATTCTGTTCTGGTTGTTTGTTTATTTCTTCCTTGTATTCCAAATTGTAGATATGAACCCTGGCTTCCTTCCCTTCACTGTTGGTTCCCTGTAGGTTTTTCTTTATTTCATTTAGTGTAGCATTTCTGGCATTTCTTTCTTTATGCTTTTGCCATACACAGTGAGTTCTCCGAGCATCTTTATCACCAGTGGTTTGAACTCTGCCTCTGATAGGTTGGCTATTTCCATTTCACTTAGTTATTTTTCTGGGGTTTTGTTCTGTTCTTTCATTTGTGCCATATTTCCTTGTTTCCTGAATTTGGCAGCCTCCTTGTGTTTGTTTCTGTGTACTAGGTAGAGTTGCTTTGATTCCCTGCCTTAGTGCATCTCTGAAGTTGTATGGGGTAGAGCCTTAGATGTTCACTAGGGCAGCCCTCTTACTACTGTATGTGGGGAAGGGGTCAGAGAGGGGACAATGCTGCTGCCTGACTGCTAGAGGCATGCTTGGCACTCATCCTGTTTCCAGTCACTTCACCCCCTTCCCCTATGTGACTGGCATCCCTCTTACTGCTGTCCCTATGGTGGTACCCAGAATAAGTAGGTTTGCATATGTTCTAAGACCTTGTGGACCCTTTAAGTGGACTCTCTTGAGAGACCCACAGTTTCTTCCACTGCTCCAACCCTCACTGGTTTTTACAGCCAGAAATTATGAGGTTTTATTTTCCTAGCACTTGAGCCCTGGGCCGTGCAATCTGGCCTGGGGCTGGGATTGCTTGCTCCCAAGGCATCCCTCCCATTTTTTATCTACCACACATGAATGTGAGACCAGCCATCCTGCTGGCCATTGCCACCGCTGCCTTGCCACCACTGCCACACTGCGTCCTCTCTGGTCCACTCCCCATTTCTGCACCTCCTACGCCCTGGTTGAATATTCCTTCTTTAAATCCTTGGTTGTCAGACTTCCACATAGTTCAATTTTCTGGCAGTTCTGGGTGGTTTTTTGTTTTAGGTTAGTTGTGATCTTTCTCATGGTTGTGCAAGGAGGTGGAGCATGTCTATGCCTCCATCTTGACCTGAAGTCCTATAGCATTTTAAATATTCAGTGTCTACAATCATATGGCCCCTGACCTCCATGAGGAAGTAACTGTGTTTTAGTCATCTTTGTAGCCTCAGCACATAGCACAGTGCCAGGAATAAGGTAACTTAAATATATAATTATGGTCTTATATTAGAAAATGACAATGAAATCTAAGAGAGATGATTCTATCACAATAATTTGCTTTTAGTGGGCTCATCCCCTTTTTATATAAGAAGGGGATATATATTTTCCTTCCTGGATAAAAGTTGAAAGTAAGCTTTTCTTCTATCTACTCTCAGTCCAGTAGGATTTCTGCCTACAGTAAGAAATACTGCCTAAATACTGATGACAGCAAGGGCGTTGCCCAGGAGACAGCTACAAGCACAGCTGTCTGTGGTTGAAGAAGAAATTGCTACCTGTGTGGTGGGCTTTTAGGGGCATTGAAATCCCAGCCTCCACTCACCTTTACTCCTAGAACCTTTCCTATGAGGAATGGAAGTTTAGTTGAAGCTTCTTGCCTTTAGCATGAGGCTTTCTTCAGTGGAGATAGTAATTTAAAATGGTTCCGAAGCACATATTCTATACTTCAAAGGGCTCTCTTGTTATTTTCTGAAAGCTGGTTTTTCATAAGGAGGTTAGAAATACATCACAAATATATTGCAAAGGCACTTGCAATAAGAGAGAACAAGTAAGTAAGTCAGGGTTTGGGAAGGGCACTGCATAGGAAGGGCGGCAGGGAAATCAGGGAGAAGCCACTTATTTTAGAGTTTTGCCTGGGACTATGCTTCTTCCAGAGGAATAATAATTTGGCATTAATACTACAGAATCAATGCAGAGAACTCTTGCTGAAAAGTGTGATGAGGGTGACTACCAGGAAGGCAGATGTCCTTTGATGGCCTGGAAGGCAGTGTAGCTACATTGTTCAGAGATGGGGCTTGGTGGTCCAACAGGGCTGGCTCTGTCCCACTGTAGCTATATCAGTGTCCCTGCTGTGGGACTTCTCTGGAGATAATTTCCTGATACTGTTGAGGACTAGAAGAAATGATGTGTGTGGGGAGTCTGGTCCCATAGCTGCCACACAGAAATACTCAAAAATGTCAGTTTCATTCTCGTCCTTTTGTTTCACCTTTTTGTATAAGATAGTGGATGCTATTCTCTCCAAGTCCTTTGGTCCTTTCACATATTTCCACCACACTGTTCTTCTCAGTTCTGGCCTGATGACTCATGACATGTACAGGGATTTTGAAATCTTTATAGCCCAAATAGCTATGTTAATGGGCAGGAAGAAGGATTGGTTGCCCTGCTATAAGAACCCTACTTTGAACCTTGCACTGAGATGTATCCTCCTTTACTGATAGGTGAGCCAGCTTATCCACATAGAAAAAATGCAGGTTGGTTTGTGAGGTTTGTCTGACTAATGCAGTTTTCCTCTAGATACTGTCACGGGTGTGATCAGCTAAAAAGCTGACCACTTGCTGATGTGACTGGAAAGTTGATGGAGGCAGTTTTCTGTTAAGCAGAAGCCCCACAGAAATCACTGCCTTGGTCTTGGAGCAACAATGGTAGCATCTGGCTACTTGAACCCAGTTTCTGTGCTCCACCTTCCAGAGGAGCTATTGGAGCTAAAGAAAATGTAGGAAAGGAGTGGAAAATGAGGAAGAGAGACCCCCGAGGATGATACACTTAAAAAGGAAGAGATGAGCTAGAAGTCTATACAGTTATTGTGTTGGTACAGAATACTTTTATCTATAAATAACAGGGAGTTTGGCTTTAGAAATCTTCAGTAAATGGGGGTTTATTTTCCTCAGATAACAAGAAACCTCAAGTGGCAATCAAGGGCAGGTATAGAACTTCTGTGATATTATTAGATACTGGGGCTTCTTTATCTCTGTTCCACCATTCTCTGAGCTGGTTCATCCCCTCATGCTTTCATGATGGCTATCACAGCTGCAGACATAGGTGGTCGGTCCACTGTCTGAGCAACAACAAGGAGGTGTATAGGGCAATGCCAGCTATGTCTATTCTTTTTCTCATTGGGAAAAAAGTATCCTGACCAGAATTCTCCCAGCAGACTTTCCCTTTTGTTTCTTGAATCAGAAATAGTTCACTTGACCACTTTCCTAGCTGCAAGGAAGTCTGGAAAAGAGAACACTCGACTTCCTAAGGGAGAGAGATTGATGATGTCTGGAGACAGCTAATCCAAGAGTCTGCTACAATGCTGAAGGAGAGGACTCCAAATTTCAAATCCCTCTGCATTCTTCTATGTTATTTTTCCTTTACCAGACAAGCAGTATCAACTTAAGATTCAACGAACCAAGAAATTTTGTGTAAGATCATTTTCCCCATCACTCTATTGCTAATTTTGGGGGGCTTATTCCCAGAATTTCCATGGCAAGAATATACTTGCTTTCCCAAAAGACTGGAAGACAAATTCTCTCCCATTTTCACCCACTTCTTTCATTTTTTGGTTTTACATGTCTAGCTTAAACACCATTGACTTGCCACATGCTTCTGATCCTAACCTATTCCACCCCTGGTTTCCAGCACAAGTAGGTCTGAAGAACCACTTAGGAAGGAGGGGAAACCAGCATCAGGTATGGAGGCTAAATCCCTCCTCCCAGAGGATGCCCCTCCTTGGGTGGGTTTTGGGCTGGCGGACACTTCCTGCATGCCACCCGCTCCATTCTGCCTTGTGTTTCCTTTCAAAGATGCAGTCATCCCAGGAACAAAGGGATGGCAGGGGCAAGTGCTGAATGCTCCCCATTCTCCCTGGTTGGAAATGGTGAGAGTCATAGTCTTCCACATACTGTGGATGCAGCTGGCTTCCTGCCAGGCTGTCTCTGCTGCTTTTGCTCCCTGTGGTGTATAGTGGGCTTGTAGTGGCTGAGAAGGCCAGTTTAAGTCACAGTTTAATTCTGCTTCCTGCCACTACCTGGGAAATGACTTAACCTCTCTGGGTCTGAGTCTCATCACCTATAAAATGGAGCTAACAATAACAATTTACCTCCCCATGGTTGTTGTCAGGATTAACTGTGTTTAGGACAGAGCTCAACACATACTAACTTGCCTACTGTTCCAGCTACCACTTACTGCTCTCCCAGCCTGGATTTGTGCATCTGCTTGGAGATGCTTGTCTTTCAAGTTCAGAGTCTTTGGATTTTAGAACTGTTGTAGGGCTTGAAGTAAACATTTGTGCTTTTATTGTTTTCTAAATGAGTATAGATTGCGAATCAAATGTTAAAACAGTAAGCTTTTCTCAAAGTTACAGTTCAAATTCACATCAAATTTGACTAAAATTTACTGTGTTACTATGTGCCAAATAAGCATTGAACTAAACACATCTGTGTATTCTTATGTTTCCCTGACAAATTCTGTTGTACCTGGGGAGACTGTGAACTCTAGAGTGTTGTGAATCTTCCATGAATTCCCTTATGAATGAATAGAAGGAAATGGAGATGTTTTAAGAAGTTGGTATAAAAACCTCTAGAATTTAAAAGGCAGAGTGGCACTGTGGGAAGATCATGAACCTTTGTTTAGTTAGATCCATGTATAGCTGCTGTGTCAACCATTTACACATTTTACTTTGAGCAAGTAGCTTAACCTCTCTGACCCTCACATGTAACATGGAGTTAATATTCTCCCTATAGGGCCACTGCTTGAATGGTGTGGTTCAATGAGAAAAGGAATGGAAGGCTCATTGCAAGCCATTTTGACATAGTAAAGCCTCAACAAATATTAGACCTCTTTCTGCCTGTTTTAACTAGATTTTGCATTGGTTTCTTCCAGGTTAAAGTTTTATGTTTCATTTATCAGTCCTGGAAGCCATAATAAAATTATCAAGTGCTACATTCATAATAGATGGTGATGTTAATTTTCTTTTTCTTTTTTTAACAGACAACTGGATATGGCCAAGAGTGGAGGTTTAGTGGACCCCTGAAACCCATGACATTTTCTATTTTCGAAGGCCAAGAACCCAGTCAAATCATATTCCAGGTAATGACTACTTTTGATCACTGTCATCTTGATTTCTCATGCTCTCTTAGTAGACTTTTACTCTTATCACTCTGCAGCAGGAAGTAAAATAGAGGCCTGACAGACCTCATTATCAAGAATGATCTCAGAAACTAAGTTAATCAGAGAGATGGGTAGCCTCAGTATTGTAAAGTGTTGTACCTGACATCCTCATTTGGATTTCCTCAACTCTGTCTGGGGCGAGTTCTCCCATCCTGGGAGAAGGGATCTTGGTGCCTGGAGGCTCTGCCTCCCCTTCAAGGATGGGAAGAGAACCAGTTTTGTGAGTGGGATGGCCATCTATCAGGCTTAATGGTCATGGCTGATAGTTTCGTGTGTGCGCGCACAAGTGCACATGGGCGTGTTGGGGTGGAGGAGCAGGAGATGAAGGGGATTTCCTTCCTTGGATCACAAAATCTTTGTGCTAGAAAAGACCTCAGAGACTTTTGATACCAAATGGTTGTTTTACATATAGGGAAACTGAGGCTTACATAAGTTTGGCAGAGCTGAGACTAGAAAACAGTTAACATCTAGTCAAGCATATATACTCTCTCTGTCTTTGTACTGTGGAGATAATGCAGCAAACCCTGCTTTGGTAAGATGTTCCTTTGAACTCTTTATTCCAGTGTTGGGGAAGAGTTGTAGTTTCCCTTCATTCAGCATCACTTGAAATATTGGGTTGGCCAAAAAGTCTGTTAGTTTTTTTCTGTGAACTAAAAGATGCATTTTTTTTCTGTTTTTGTCAATAACTTTATTGATTTGAATATTTGGAGTATGTGAGCTATTTCCCACTATTGGCTTCTAATGGGTAGAGGCCAGGGGTGCTGCTAAACATCTTCCAATGCAAAAACAGCTCCATAGTGAAGAATTATTTGGCTGAAATGTCAGTAGTACCAAGACACTTCATACACCACTTTTGACACAATCAGTCACAGCACCTTCTCCATATATTGCATAAATCTTTTTTTTGCATTTCAGTTGCATTTTTACTTTTCTTGAAATAATAAAACATAATATACTAAAAACATTGCATTTTCTTCCATCTTCAGTATTAGAATGGCTGCATAAAAATTTACCAATTTTGAATATTTTTTAAAGATTTTTAAAAATTTATTTTTAGAGAGAGGGGAGGGGGAGGAGAGAGAGGGAGAGAAACATCAATGTGTGGTTGCCTCTCACACACCCCCTACTGGGGACCTGGCTCGCAACCCAGGCATTTGTCCTGACTAGGAAATCAAACCAGTGACCCTTTGGTTCACAGGCCCACACTCAATCCACTGAGCTACACCAGCCAGGGCCCAATTTTGAACTTTTTAAAATGCATGCTGATATGACAGCTGTCACAATACAACCTAACAAAATTGTTTTGAATGAAGTTAAAGACAACTAACCACTACTAGAGCCATTGTACAGAAAAAAAACATAATAGACTTTTTGGTAACCCCAATATTTTTGCCTGGAGTTAGGGTGGCACAAAGCGAGCTCAGTGCTCTATGAGGCTGATCCTTAGGTTATTAACATATCCTCCAAAAAAAAAAAAAAGAATCAAGTAGCTACAAACTTTTTTCACTAAAGCTTTTCAACTAGCCCCAGCTTAGTACTCTCAGGGGCTTCCAGATCACAAGACACTATGATACAAATCTGAGATAGGTCATTTTTTTCTTTTCTCTTTGTATTGAGATATAGCTCACATACCATAAAATCCATCCTTTTCAAATGTACTACTCAAGGAGAAAGAGAGGGAGAAAAACATGACTGTGTGGTTGCCTCTTGTGCACCCCCTACTGGGGACCTGGACTACAACCCAGGCATGTATCCTGACTGAGAATAGAACTGACAACCCTTTGGTTCAGAGACCTGTTCTCAATCCACTGAGCTACACCAGCCAGGGCCGAACTCAATCATTTCTATGAGCATCATGATTTCCAGTGTTTTGAACTCTGCATCTGATAGGTTATTTATCTCTTCATCATTTAGTTCTTTTCCTGGGGTTTTGATCTATTCTTTCATTTGGGCCACATTTCTCAGTCTCACAAGTGTTATGTTGTAAGGGGCAGAGACTTAGGTATTCACCAGGGTGGGGCAACCCTCTTCACTGTGTTGTGGTATTGTCTGTTGGGGATGGTTCAAAGAGGGGAAAATGGCACTTGCTTGGTTCTCACTCCACTTTCCGTCACTTCTCCTGCTTCCCACAAGTGGATTTCGCCCTTTCAGGTGCTTATTCACAGGTGGGTGGGTGTGTACATTTTAGGACACTGTGGGCCTCTCTATGGTCTCTCCTGTGAGACTGGGAGTTTCTCCCATCACCATACCTCCCACAGATTTTTCCAGCCAGAGGTTTTGCATCATTAGTTCCTTGTGCTGAAACCCTGTGTTTTGCAGTCTGCCTTGCTCCCCAGTTGTTCCTCCTGGCTTATCCACACATGAATGTGAGGCTGCCTGGTTACTTCTATCCCCCTGGCTCAGAGCATGGCCACAGCTATTTAACATAGCTATGCAACCAGTTAAAGGTTATAGATATGTTAAATGACCATGCTAGAGGTTAACTGCAAAGCTGTTGCTATATAAAACAGCTTTCAATGGCCCTGCTCCATTTGTCCCTTCCCCCACCCACACCTGTGGGAGGATGGGTGGGGGGAGGACATCTTAATATTTCCTGGACACCCTGAGTTCTGGGCCCCATTCCAAATCCCTATTTGGGGCCCCTCTCTTGGCTGCATTCTGTAACACTACAACTGTGTGGTTTACTGTTTAAAAATATTTCATTAGTATAATGTGTTTAGCTGTTTTTACTATCAAGGGCTACAAACACTTTATTTTATGCCTCAAGTTATTTCCGAAAGGATTGTGCTAATTTACATTTCCATCAATAATATATGTTTCTTTACATCTTTTATAACATCCTGAAACATAGGCTATTATTGATTTTTAACTTTGTTAATAAAATATATGAAATATACTAACAATTATTATTGAGGTTGAACAACTTTTATACCTGCATTATTTTCTGGAAACGTTCTATTCTTGTGGTCTTCAAAGTGCTATAGCTTTTTGATAATATTGTGATGACTATATATGATGCCAGGTAGGTACTGGAAATATTAGGGGGAACACTTTGTAAAGTATATGGTTGTCTAACCACTAGGCTGTACACCTGAAACCAGTACAAGATAATATTGAAAGTAATTGGACAATAAAAATTTAAAAAGCTCTAAAATTTAAAACAGTACTATAGCTTTATCTATAGTTGCTCTTTTCTTCACTTCTGAAAAGTAATTAAGAGATTGTCATATAGAATCTTGTGAAGTTACAATCACTTTTAAATTGTTTCCCTTAATATTAAAATATATCTTAATCATTGTCACAATGTTTAGAAGTAATAAATGACATCTTTTTTAAAATTTTATTTTAATCATTGTTCAAGTACAGTTTTCTCCCTTTTACTGCCATTCCAGCCCACCCACCCAACCCTCCTCACTTCCCTCCCATTACCACCCTCCCCCCAAAATGACATCTTTTTTAATCATAGCCGTAAAGCTAACCTTTAAATATTTCTTAGAAGTTAGTAATGTTATAGCTTTCAGATATTCCCAGAAAAATCTCATCTAGCTCCAGTTACAATTTAAACCATTAACTTTTGTCAATATATTAAAGTATGTCATACATTGTTTCTTGAAGAAAAAGTATTTTGAATGTTAGTTAATGTTCAAACAAACTTTTAAAATGTGTCACTTTAAAAGCTCATAACTTCTTAATTAGTGATTGTACAAATGAAAATGTTCCCTGAAATTGGTGACTTTCTACAGATTGTACAACATTGTTTTTTCTTATAACCTCGTCTAACTTTTGCTTTTCCCCAGTTTAAGGCCCAACCTCCTGCTGTAACTTTCAAACTAACTGGGGAGACAGATGGAATATTTCAGATAGAACCAGATGGACTTCTGTATCACACCAGAGCTCTGGACAGGGAAACAAGGGCTTTTCACAAGCTTGAGGTGAGTTAAGACCAGAGAAAGTCACCTACCAACCTTTCTGATAATCCTTTGTCCTGGAAGTATCACTGGCACCTTCACCCCATGCACAGAAGCCTGTTAGGTCCCTCTGAACATTAAAGGCATGCTTTGCAAACCTAATTTGTCCATTTTTTTTATCAAGTACACAGGGGTATGGCAAAGGTCTTCTTTTCCTTAGGCTTTTTGATCACAGCAACCCAAATTACATTGTCAAGGCCCTCAAACAGCATTACTTATTCAAGTATGGCACGCTCAGGCACCTGGATCAAAACCAAGCCAATACTTCTCTACTATCTGCCTGTGTCTGTTGTGTGGGCTCTGGGTCCACACAGAAGGCAGCGGCAGTGCTAGGATAGAGATTCTTTGGTCCTTGCAAGAAGCAGAAATAACCAATAGTCAGTTTTCATGTTTTTTATTTGAATATGCAGGCATGATGGACAGCTAATTGTGGGGAAAAAAGAGCAAGCCAAAAGCTTTCTGTCTGGTAACTTCTGTTGAATCTGCAGGTCAGCCATTAAAATGCTTCTGTAAGAGGACATGGAACTTTTATAGCCTCAGGTTCAAAGTGTTCTTATTTCACTGACTCTAGCTATTTAGAAAAGAATCATGTCCAGTGTCCGTCATACCTCACCACTGGAAAAATAGTCATGATAATTCAGGTTTAATGAAGAGGGCCCCTATTTTAGCAGCTCCCAATTTGGGTTTTTATGGGTATGTTTCTCCCCTACACTTACCAGGTAGTGGTTCTTTGAACTCTGATTTCCCTCAGTGACTTTTGTTGTGTGATATGGAGTCCAAATTCACCAAGGTAGTTTCCTTTCCCTTTCTGCATTAGGTCTCAGCCCTGGATGCTAAAGGAGCGACAGTGGAAGGCCCAGTTCCCATCACAATAGAAGTGAAGGATATCAACGACAATCAACCCACGTTTCTCGAGTCAAAATATGAAGGCTCAGTAAGACAGAATTCTCGCCCAGGTAACAGGCAGCAGCCTGGAAGCATTTATGGAAAGACAGAAGGGTATGAGGCAGAAGGGGCAGATTTGTGTGGCTAATAGCTGCAGCTATCATTCATTAAGCACCCTAACTTATTTAAATTTTGCAAAGTAAATACTTTGGGAGTTGTATTATCCCTATTGCTCTAGAGCATGGCTTCTTAACCTTGGCTTCATTGAGATGTTGAGCTTGATAATCTTTTATTTATTTATTTATTCATTTATTCATTTATTTGTTTATTTATTGGTCAGGTGCTGTTATATGCATTGTAGGATGTTTAGCAGCATCCCTGACATCTACTCACCAGATGCCAGTAGCAACACCTACTCCTAAGTTGCAACAACAAAGATGTCTTCAGACATTGCCAAATGTTCCTAGGGCAGGGTAGGGGAAGATCACCCCTGGTTGAGAACCACTGTTCTAGGGTGAGCTTTAGAATGCTTTAGAGCTCTATACATTTTTAAATACTCTGGAAAGGTGAGCTCACTTTCCCACATCCTCCCAGGAATCTCACATTCACATGGTCACTATTGGCTCCTATTTCTTTTTCTTCTCTTATTTCCAGTCCTAGCTATGAGTTATCCATTTGCTATGTTCCTACCCTTTACTTCCACAAAAGCCTCTCACAAAAGCATAGGTGTATGCCACAGGCTTTGCTAAAGATTTGAGCAGTTGAAGAGGCATTACATTATAACAGTGCACAACATAAACATGAATATTAGACTTAAGACTCTTGCCCATTTCCATCAACTCACTGTCAGTTTCCCTTTACTACTGAATCTTAACTCTCAATCTTTAATGCCTGCTTCCAATAACTCAGGAAAAGTATTCCTTTCACTTCATTATGTAGAGCAATTTCATTGTTGCTGTCCCTGAAATTTCATACCAAAGACTCTCTAACAAGCTCTGCTAACCAAGAATCTTCCATGTCTTCCCCTTTCTCTATTCATCAGTGGAGTCTTCTAGAGTAGTTCTCAAACTCTTTTATCTCAGAGCTCTTGTCTTTCCCTAACAAATAAAATAGAGACAGACTCATAGATAGAGAGCAGGTTGACAGCTATGGGTGGAGGTAGGTGTTAGGAGGTGGAGGGATTGAGCAAAAAGGAAAAAGGACTCACAGACATGGACAGTGGTGTGGTAATTGTGGGGTGGGGAGGGAGGTATAAGGGGGATAAATGTAATGGGGGAAAAAACACAATAAAAATTAAGTAAAAAATAAAATACAGCCAGGGGCTAAATTAAAAAAAATTATTAAGGACTCCGAAGAACTTGTGGATATATCCAGTGGTGTTATGTGGGTTACATCCAGAGGGATGCTGATAAATGTATAACAGCCATCTCTCTGGGGGGAAAAGCCCTGCTTGTAGCACTTACTAATTTCTGTGGTAAAAATATTCCTACCATGGCCTATTTCAAGTCACCAATGGTGTTAATAATTGGCTTACCAAACTTCTGGAAATTCAACAATTGGCTCTCACAAATTGGCTCCAGTACAGCATTGGTTATATCTACCAATACTTATCATATTAGAAAATAAAGCTGAGAGACTTCAGATATTTATTAATTTAGAATAATCAACATTTTAATAAAATCTATATTTTTAAGGACAAAAAGAACCATTAAGAATGATGGCAGTGTTTGAATCTTTGCAAATCTCTTTACGGTCTGAATTAACTGAAAACCATTGGATTCTCATGTCTGTTTCTGCACTCGTGCTGCCCTATGCTGTTTTGGCTGAAGCATATGAAGAAACTCTTGCTGCACACAGATATGTAGTTGGAAAAGGGAGGAATATTGTTATTGCATTTTCAGATAACTATGGCTGTTCTTTGGTACTATACCTAAACTACAGCAAGTGGTAGTTTCTTAAAGGCTGGTTACGATATGGAATCTGGAGCCACATCAATGCCCCCCCGCCACCCCATCTTTTTTGGTACTCTTTCACACTGAAATCCATTGAACTAATGCTTTGAGTGGATTTTTTTTTAACATGTGTGTGAGTTTAGACTCAATTGACCCTAAAAACAGTCTCAGAGATCCCTAGAAGTCCCTGGTCCATACTTTGAGAAACCCCATCCTAGGGGAAGGAAGCAGAATAAAGATTTATTTCCCCATCGATATGAATTGTGGCATCTTCCCCATTCTGCCTCTGTCTCTTAGAAGGCCAAAGTGGCTATAGTTGGTTTGGATTTCAATTAATATCTTTTTTTTTCTGGGTATGTTTTGTTAAATAGGAAAGCCTTTTATGTATGTCAATGCTACAGACCTGGATGATCCAGCCACTCCTAACGGTCAACTTACTTATCAGATTGTCATGCAGCTTCCCAAGGTCAACGAGGTCATGTACTTTCAGATAAACAACAAAACAGGGGCAATATCACTTACCCGTGAAGGTAAGTCAGGCGATGCCCTCATAGGACTGATTGAGTAAAAAAAGGGACCTAGATCTGTGTCAGTTTCAGAGATGTTTCCTTTTCCATTCTTTCTACTTTCCATAGGATCTAAGGAATTGGATCCCATTAAGAATCCTTCATATAATCTGGTGGTCTCAGTGAAGGACATGGGAGACCAGGCTGGAAATTCCTTCAGTGACAGTGTACCTGTGGTTATTACAGTGAAGGAGAATATTTGGAAAGCACCAGAACCTGTCCAGATTGTAGAAAACTCGACGGATCCTCACCCCATCAAAATCACTCAGGTAGTGCCTAAGGAATGCCTAGAGCCCACTAGATAAATGGCCTCACTTTGTAGGAGCTCACCCTCATGGTCTTCACAGATATATTTATTGTATACATTTTTACACAGCATAATTATAAAGCAAACTAAATCGACAAAGTCTCTGGCTCCAAGTCTCTGGAGTTTATCATCATGGGTAAGCTCTGAGCTTCACCAAATTGTGTGTGTGTGTGTGTGTGTGTGTGTGTGTGTGTGTGTGTGTTTAAAAAAGAGAACTTTGTCCGTGATTCAAGATTCCCTAGATACAATTGATGTTTGCTGTTCCCTGTCAGTAGTATGGAATATGGCTGCACTAGAGTGGGTTGCATATGGTGCACACATCATGTACATGTATTCTTATTCTGATGGGAAGAATCCCTTTCCAGAAGACTCATATAGTCATAGTCTGAGGGACATAGATAGAACTGGCCAAGAGTAAGAGTTGAGTAGATAACCTTTACCTTTGTAGACCACCCTCCCCCAACTCCATCTCCTCTGTGTGCCTCTGCTCTCCATTCACAAGCTCTGCCTTGCCACCTCTGAGGCTGGTGCTCTCACCTCCTCCCTTAGCTCTTTAAATACACTCTGAGCCCCACCCAGATCTGATCTTTTCTGGAAGATCAGAAGGTTCCTTGATGTGAAAGCTGTGGGCTAGTGAGAGAGCACTGGATTTGGAAGCAGATGACCAAAACCATGTCCTTGCTCCATAACTTTAATGATTGATCATAGAATAAGTCATTTAACTATTCTGTACCCCAACCTCTCAACAGTAAAATGGAGATTATAACACCTCTAAGGACTGTTGTGGAGATTAACTAAGAGGTCGTGTCTATGAAAGTGGATAACAGGTATTAATGTTATGAGTAAGTCCCAGTCTGTGGTTCCTCTAGCATTGTTTGTAAATAACACCATTAGTATTAAGGGACCTGGAATGGTCTACCCCACATCTATTGTATAACCTAAAAGAATTTTTATCTTTTGAATGTTGAATTAATGAACTTCACCATTGGGGAAAAAAAAGAATAAAAGCAACAGTTATTCTGCTTTGCCAGCTGAGAAGCTGTGTCAGGACTTACCACCATGACAAGTGCAGATTCAGAGCCTTTACTACAGTCTTCCTGTTTGTTATTTAGGTCATCCCCGGAAGGACTTGTAAATGCTAAAAAGAAAGAATATGCTTGCTTGCTCTCGGGCCTGTCAAAGAAAAGAAATTCTGGGGTGCCACCTCCAATACCCAGGCCTGGGGAAAATGGTTTGGGTGTCTGGAAACGCAGGAAGAAGAGTGGGGGAGGACGGCTCAGGAGAGAACTCAGACTGAGTTTTTAGGGCAGAGGGTGCACTCACTTAGACCCAGGAACATGGTTTTTGGCTTGGATAGAGAGTGGTGCTTAAATAACTGGTATGAGACAATGATGCTCCCTTGATACCCTTCCCAGGCTGGTCTTAGAGGAGAGTTTACTGTGGCAATTTCAAACACTGTAGGACCTTACGCGATTCAGGCAAATCACTTAAACTTTCTGTGCCCTGGTTTCCTCATTTGTAGAATGGGGATAATGATAGTATCTACATCCTAGGGCTTTTGAGCATTTAATGAGATAATAGATACAAGTGTTTAGAATTGGGTGTGGCATGCAGTAAACCCTCAACAAGTGTTATTATTAGAATATTAGAGATACCAAACTCTGTAGAAAGTAGAGTGGACTTAGTATTGATTTTATTTATTTTGCCACGTTGTTTACAGAACAACACAAGGAGTTGGCAATTATTCTTAATCCCTGAAGTCTTTAAGACTAAATATTTAGGGAAGGAATGTGCTTTATTTATATATCATTTATCTTACTGAAATACTAGCATGGAGAAGAGTTTAAAGTGTCTTCTTTGCTCTTATCTTCATTGGTGAGTTTTTGAAGCTCATCATATATCTTGGCTTAGTCCTCAGACAATGGCAGCTACAAAGTAGATTTTGTTTCTTAGATTGATATTTTACGGACATGAAGCTTCCACAGTCAGACTTCCAAAATAGTGACCACGCAAATTCTTAAGCAGGTTCACACACACAAAAAAATTGCTTTAGAGAAGAAAAATATCTCATACATGCTTTTTTGGGAGCAACATAACTTAGTAAAATAGGAAAAAGGCTTATTTTTGGTTAAAAGTGAAAAAAAATGTAATTCAGTAGTTGTAAGAAACCACAGACATATAAACAAAGTCGTCAGAAGCTTCAGACTGAGAACCAGAAAACTGTTTATTCCCTCTCCAGTTCTCTGGGTGCAGATGTCTCTCTCCTCATGACTCACGTTGGCCCTGCAGGTGCGGTGGAATGAGCCAGGTGCACAGTACTCCTTAGTTGAAAAGGAGAAGCTGCCAAGATTCCCATTTTCAATTGACCAGGAAGGAGATATTTATGTGACTCAGCCCTTGGACAGAGAAGAAAAGGATGCAGTGAGTAAAACTGGGGGGAGTTTCACAGGTGACAAGACCAAGTCCTGTGCTCACGACCTGGAGAGCTGAGAGCAGGAAAGATTTTACTTAAAAACAGTAACAAAAATTCCTAAACTGGGTTCTGACCCCAGTATGCTACTGCTCTCAAAGATATGATAATATCCCCACAAATCTGACCCATTTTATTTTTTTCTTATTTCCCAGTTCTAAGTAAGTTGAAAGTAAGGGGGTACACAAAAAAATTAAAACAATAATTTTCTCTGCCTTTTTTAAGGCAACGATGGAGCCGTGTCTTAACTTTGATCTTCCTGTTGTAGTATGTTTTCTATGCAGTTGCAAAGGATGAGTTTGGAAAACCACTTGCAATGCCACTGGAAATTTTTGTGAAAGTTAAAGACATTAATGATAATCCACCTACGTGTCCACCCACAGCGACTGTATTTGAGGTCCAGGAGAATGAAAGAATAGGTAAGACAGAGCTATTTGAAGCTGTGTAACCATCTTTCTTATAACTCTGTAATCCGTTTCTCCTCTCTGGCTTGTAAAAAATGGAGTAAATCTGATCAGGGATCAGTCGTCCATGTCTAGCATAGTGTAGAGGTTGAGCGCACCTTGAGAGTTGCACAGGTACAGTATTCTGGCTCAGTTACTACCTGGGTAGTGTCCTTAAATTGCAGCTTATATGACCGCCATCGCCACTACCACCACTCTCCCTGCCCCTGCTTGTTCCTGGCCTTTGTCACTTGGAGACATGGCACTCCGTTCACTTCTGACTTATCCACAAAATCTATACTCACACTGAGTGGTGACTTCTACTGGAGTTTCCCTGGTCACTTATGTCAACAGCCTCATAGTTCCTCTGACAGGAAGGAGGTACTATGCAGTGAGAGAAGCACAGTGCCCTCTGTGTTATGCTTACTCATTTTGGCAAAAAGTCCAAAGCAGGGCAGCTCCAACACCGAAGGGTCACAGAATTTAGTGAGATATTCTTTCATTCCAGCACACACATACTGACAAAGCAGATGTCTGTTGCAAAAGTGACTCGGTTGTGATCGAGTCAGAAATAGCAGCTGCTACTGTATCAAATACATATTTCCTCTGCTCTGTGGCTCATGGTGCCCCCTTCCTAGGCCCATCAACCACGTCAACATGGGCCCAGGTTCATTATAGATGGCCACAGGAAGTTCCCTCCCCCCACAATGAAAATCCTTCAAGTTTCCATGTAAGTCAGTAGATGCCAATTGATATAGGAGAGGGGGTAAAGCCTAGCTCCATGAATGGGATATATTCAAGTTTGAGTCCCATGGTGGGATTGTGGCTGCATGTAGAGAAGCCCACAGTTCCCATTTCACAAAGCAAGATGATCCAGAACCTACCAGACCTCACGTAGAGCTGGGTGAGGTACTGAGTCATAGCCTCCAACTTTGGAAACTCCCTGGGCTGAAACACCTGCAAGAATAAATACGGAGGGCCATAAACGGCAGCAAGGCAGAGAGGATGCGTGCCTGCCCTTTGCCCCGTGTTATCTCTGGGGTGGAGTCAGTCTCTGCAATTGTTCTGTAAAGTTGCTGAGAAGTGACCCATAATGGGCCTTTCTTTAGTTACACCATTTGCCGTGTACAGTAGCATCCAATGATGGTTGTAACAAAGAAAGTACCACAAAGTCAGTAGCTTAAAACAACAGGAATTTGTTCCCTCATAGTTCTGGAGGCCAAAGTCTGAAATCAGAGTGCCCGCTAGGGGAGCATTCTTCCGGGCCTCTTCTGGCTTCCGGTGGCTCTTGCCATTCCTGAGCTGCTTGTGGCAGCATAACTCTAGTCTCTGTCCCCTTCACAAGGCCACCTCCTCCGTGTGTGTACATCTTTGTGTCTTTTTATAAACACACTAATCAGTAGATTTAAGACCCACTCTAAGTCCATGATAATTTTATCTCAAGATCCTTAACTATTTACATCTGCAAAGATCCTATTTCCAAATGTGGTCACATCCGTGTTTTGAGTGAGCTGGAATTTTTGTGGGACACTATTTGTTATGGGCTGAACAGTGACCCCCTCCCCCAGGTTCAAATGGTAAAATCCTAATGCCCAGTAACTCAAAAGCTGACTATCATTTAGAGAGAGGGTCTTTAAAGAAATAAAGTTAAAATGATGTCATTAGTGTGGGTCTTTAATATGAATTAATGTTGGTATTCCTAAGTCTTGGGACATAAGTCCCACAGATTCTGGCTAATATAAGACATCAAAGAAGAGAAAAAATAGAAATATATTTTAGCATTATATATATATGAAATTTAGTATTTTACTGAGCTAGACACTAAGCCTCCCACAGGGCAGGGGCATTGTTTTGTACCTCTTTTACCCTACATATATAAAATAGACATTCCACAGAATACAACACTCTGACTTCATCACTAATGTGGTGTTCTCCCAAGAAGAGAAAATCTGGACACAGACATGTAGAGGAATGGCCCTGTGAAGACACATGGATCTGACAGCTATGTACAAGCCAAGGAGAGGTCTCAGAAGAAACCGACCTTGCTGACACCTTATCTCAGACATCTAGCTTCCAGAAACTGTGAGAAAATAAATTTCTGTTATTAAAGCTGCCCAGTCTGTGGCACTTTGCAATGGCGACCATATCAAGCTAATACACTACTGAACTCACTATACCGTGAGAGGGTTAGAAGAACCAAAATAAATCTAAGAACTTTAGTCAGCTGTTCAAAGTTATTTACAGAGCTTTCTAGGAACCTGCTTATCCAGTGGAACCATTTTTACTTAAATTAAATAGAGCCTGCAATGGGTACATTTCTTTCTTTCCTTCTTCACAGTTAGTGATATTGGGACTCTTATTGCCCATGACATGGATGAACCAAACACTGTCAACAGCGTTTTACAGTACAAGATTGTGGATCAAATCCCTCCGTATCCCAAAGAAGGACTCTTCCTGGTCCAGACATACACGGGGGTGTTCCAGTTGGCCAAGCAGTCCTTGAAGAAGCAAGACTCCCCTCAGTACAACCTGACAGTAGAGGTGTCCGACAATGGTCAGTATCACATTCGCTGTCAAGAGTGAAGATACGTGTTTTCCTTGTAGGTGTGATGTGTGAGGCTGTCCTAATGCCTGGGTATACTGCAGAAGGATGCTTCCTATGTGAACCACACATGCACCACAGAGGCAGCTGGTCCAGAGTGACAGCTCAGGCAGCATTATTGCATTGGTAAAGGGGATTAAAAGTACAAGGCTTTTATTAGGGGAAATGCCTATAAAAAAATGAAGAGAGATACAGAGAAAGCTGGGAGAACCATCAGAGTATAATACAAGCCTGACCCCGAGAGTAGACAGGGAAGGAAGGCTGATGGGAGTCTCACAGACTACTGAACAGTCCAAGAAAAGTTTGACCTGGTCATTGAGGAGTCCAAAATTGGGTGCTGAAGGAGTCCATGATACTCAGGAATGGGCCTACCTTAGCAGGCCTGCCTCCTGCAGTCACTGGCTGGGGGCAGCCGTGGGAAGCAAGGCCTCAGTGCAAATGTGGCAATGGATTTCAGAGTGCAGCAGTGTGGCCATCATCACTGAACGTCCCTTGGAGGGACATTGTTGGAGGTTGGCAGGTTATGTTGTCATGGCCACCATAATCATAAACAAAAAAAAATAATGGCATTTCCCAATTCTTCCTTTTGGACTCAAAGGATTCTGCCATATGGAAGTGGAGGGAAAATGCATCTTTTGGGAAGTTCTGTCTTCTCCTATTAGCACCTAGTTAGCCATTTTACAATATCAGAAGACATTCTTCCCTATTCCTTGTACAATGTCAAAGCCAGGGGTTATTTTTGTTGAGTCACAAGAACCTTTGAGAATCTATGCATTCTCAAAAAAATGCACTCATTCTCAAGCAAAAGTGCACAGACACAAAATATAGACAGATTCAGAGATAGGTTTATTTTAGAGGCATACACACTCCCAGGTTAAGAATCATTCTCTGAGTTAGAATTGAATCTTAGATTAACAAATAGTTCAGTAAGTGTTATGCTAGGAGCGCTGGCAGGCACGGATTATCTAGGTGTGCGAAAGAAATGGCACCATTTCACATTGCACTTCACATTTTTTTTCCTTTATACAGATGTCAAAGTACTGAAGAAAACTGGGGTTTAATAGGCACCCAGTATAGAATGTTTAAAAGTAATTTGGAAAATATTGGGGGGTCTAATATTTGTATAGCTTTGTTAAGAGATACAGCAAAAATGATAACGAATATAATAAATCTGGATAAATTAACAATCTCACACCAAGAGCCACCCATTCTTACAGCAAATAGTTAATGAGCATTTACCTCATTTGAGGCACCTTCAAGGTATTGGATACCTCCATGAATAAATAAATTGCAAGGAACATGTACAAGGTTGTGTGCGAAGGAAATGAGTCACTCAGTGGAGTGGGAGAAAGGATAGGCTTTCTGGAAGAGGTAAAAGAAATCTCATGTACAAATGCAAGGGGATTTGAAGCAATTTAAGGCTGTAAGGGCATAAAGTGGAAATCAGATAACATATTGTCTATGTACATGAATACATCTACAGGAAATTTGGGCCAGATAATAAAATATATTTATACATAAATATATAGTTGTGTGTTGATAGAATTAAACATTCAAGTATACACTACAAAAAATTTGAGAGTAGGCTGTAATAGTTTTACATAAAATCAGGGAGGGCTTGTTACCCTGGAGGCCCCCTGCTGGTCCCAATGTGGTTTGTGCAAAGCAGGCAGCCAGTGCGTGCAGGACCTGGGACTCCCCAATCTTCGGCCATTCTTGTTGTCCACACATATTCTGGGGACTAGCCCCAGCTTTAATCAACATTCATTTATTTATACCTCAATTATAATTAGCTTACATGCCCAGGGCACCGAGCAGGAGCTCTGGAGTAAGACTGCCTGAGTATATTCCTTAAGATCCCAGCAGGAAATTGAGACACCCCCTCAAAAGGAGTAACCACAGGAGTTTAAAGGAGGAATTATTTGTAAGGGTTGTGGGCAACCAACAGGCAGTGTAAAGCACCTTAAGGCGTGAAGGGTTGAGGAAGGGGAGCATTCCCGGAGGAGGCCAGCCCTGTGCCTGTGACTATATACAAGGTTGCTGGTGACAGGGGACCCCACCAGAACTTTCACCCCCCACCCTTCCTCCCACTGCCTGCTAGTGCTCCTGTTGGCAGAACCTGTTTCCCAAAGGACCAGAACACCCACGATGCAGTCCATAAGGTGGGTCTCCCAGACACAGAGCAGGGAGATATCTCCCAGACACAGAGTGGGGGCATGGCTGGGAAGCACATGTAGAGGACAAAGGGAGCGTATGGATTTAAATTCTGGCTCATTAGCTGTGTGATATTGGTCAGGTTACCTAACTACTCTATCCCTTGGCTTCCTCATTTGTGAATTAAATGAGAAGGATAACAGTACCTACATCATGAAGTTAGTATGGAGATAAAGTGAGTAGTGAAGGTAAAGCACTAAAACAGTGCCTGGTGCCTAGGGAGTGCTAATAATTTGCACTATGTCAAGAACCTCAGTTTTTTCGTTATGCAAATTTTATACCTAAACTGACACAAAAACCTTGAGTGACACAATCTAGCTCTCACACATCTGATAAGTGGCAGAGGTAGAATTTAAACAGTGGGATTCCAGAGCCCAGATTCTTAATGTTTATGTGATACAGTGAGTCATGGTTGTCACAGTAGAATGATTGTGATCCCAACAAAGAACCTGTCATATTGTTTCTTATTCTCGGTATTTCCCTGGGCACCGCATTCCCACCCACTCTCCATGCTCATCTTGGACTCAGGCTGAAACTGCTGTGTCTGACGAGGTCTTTGAATTAGCAAACCCATCCTTCAAAGCCAGAGTCATTTCCCCCAGGGTTCCATGAGCCACCTCTGCCCCCCTCTTGCCTCCTCCAGCAAGGGGGGCAGTCAGGCCTTTTGCCTAAGGGGACTGATTGTACCACTTCCTCCCATACTTGGAGGAAAGGGAGCAGGCACCATAACCCTCCCCACCACGGGGAGCAGAGGAGATGTAGGACAGTAAGTGCTGGAATTTTCAGAGAAGGAAAGAGTCGGCTGAGGTGCTCAGGGAAGGCTTTCTGGAAGGGTAGTTTGGCTCTGGGCTTTGAAGGCTGCATAACTTTCACTAGTTAGTGAAAAGAAGCTGCTTCACATAAAATGAACAGTCTTGGTCTGGAACAAACTTGACCCTGGAGGGGGCTGGTGGAGGGAAGTGGAAAGCCCAGCAAAGTTTCCTTTCAGGACTTCCTTCTGCCTCTGCATGGTGACCAGCTTGTGGGCGCAGGTGGGGAGCAGAGTCCTGTTTCCACATGAACTGCATGTCAACAGCAAAACTGTGACCACGGCTGTCACTTCTCTTGCCAATGTTTTCCTCACAGGTTTCTGATTTTAAGGCATGATCTTTCAGTGAAAAATGTTTGTGATATGACTTTGATTTTCAGACTTCAAGACCCTCTGTCATGTGCAAATCAACGTCATCGATATCAATGATGAGATCCCCATCTTTAAAAAATCAGACGTGAGTAGTTGTTGCCTGTTGTCTTTTTCTTTTCTTTGTTCACATTCCTTGATCCCAACTTTTGGAATAAAGACACAGGCAGACAGTAGTTAGGTGAAATGCAAGACTTCACAGGTAGCCTTAGTTAACGCATTGGTGACACACTCAGACACCTTTTTAAGTGAAATTCTTGAGGGAATAACAACATTCACTATTATGGTTTCTGGGAATGTCTGTCTATGAACTTCTGCCAATGGCTCATTTATCCCAAGGGCTGCTTCAAGGCTGCCACCACAATCTCACTGATTTGAAAGGAGTTGAATTGCTACTTGCAGTTTGTCATTATATATTTTGTGCGTAGTAGCACAATAAATGGATTAGAGCTAGGTTTCAAACAAGCTTTTCTAGTAAAAAGTTTAATATTTGCAATATTTGAGTAAGAGAAAAGGAAAAGAAAAAAACCTAATCTCTGGCTCAAGCCAAAGAAATATGTGCTCAAGACATTTGCAAGAATTAGGAACATTGGGTAGAAAAAGCAGGAGACACAGGATCAGTTGAGGACATCAAGGAAACTATTTACTTATTGTCAAAGTGGACTTCAAACTCAGGGGTGGTTTTATCAGTGCTCCCCTTAAAAGGATGTGTCCGTTTATTTATTCTGGAGCAAAGAGAAGCCCATTTGACCAGTTTGTTTGAAGTCAGTTATGAGGCAGCCCAGAGCCCTGTGATGAAGTTCATAAATCAAAATAGGGACGAGGCTGTGACGAAGAAGGGGAATTAGTTTATGATAGGGTTCAGGGCAGCGAGAGGTGAGACTGGACATGACTTGTGTGTGTGTTGAGGCAAAGCAAGCAGGAGATAGAACCATTTGCTCTTCAGCCTCTGTGTTCCCTTCCTTGTGTTGGGAGTTTCCTGTATTACCTGTAGACGGTGGTTTTAAATTGAAGGTGAGAATCCAGCTTTGGGAGTTTCAGAGCTTGGAAATGCAAACTGGGCTCAGGAGAGTGAGTCGGCTGCCTCACTGTTGCGGTCTCCTCCTGGACCCTGGCTGTTTCTGTCTTTAAAATGGTGATGCCCAGAGAGATGATCTGAGGGATTTTCTGTGGAGGTGGGGAGGCAGTCTAAGCCAGTGACTGAGAGCATGGGCCTTGGGGTTAGACAAACATGGGTATGAATCCCAATTCTGTGCGGTCTTGGGTGAGTTTTACCTCTCCATTCCTTTGCTCCTCTGTCAACAGAAGATGATGATATAGCTACTTAGGAGGGCTTGTTGCTTATTTTATTGAGTATTTACTATGTGCCAGGCAACAGGGGCTTCACATGCATTATCTCACAACACTCATAGCAAACATGAAGTAGTTCTATTATTATTATCTCCATCAGACAGAAGATGAAACTGAGACTTAAAGACGTTTGGTAACTTACTTCAAGTCACCCTGCTGATGAGTGGCAAGCATAGGGTTCATACAAAGGCTGTTACACTCCCAAGATCAGGCTCTTAACCACTACTCCTTGGTTGATCATGCACTAATTAAAAGAATGTATGTAAAAGTACCTGTCACCTTGGAATTACTCAATATATGGTGTTGATATTATCACTAATATAGTAATTACAGTTATTAAATATATTGAATGTTGGAGGGAGAATCTGTTTTAGAATCCTACCAGCAGCTCTTTGAGATGTTGTGTTTCTTAGTATAGTGGCTATCAGTTTATGAGTATGACTGATGTCAAAATCAACGGCAACATATTTATCCATAGGAAAAGTGTGCTCTGTGAGTATTGGTGCAAACTATGACTTGGTCCATTCTGAAGCTAAACAAACAAGTTAGCCCATTGGCAATTCTTTGTGACAATGCATGTTCTCACTGTTTCCTTCCCTGGTTTCCTTCTTAGTATGGAAACCTAACTCTTCCTGAAAACACAGCCATTGGGTCCACCATCCTAACCATCCAGGCCACGGATGCTGATGAGCCCTTTACTGGGAGTTCTAAAATCCTGTATCGAATTACACAAGGAGACGATGAGGGGTGCCTGAGGATTGACACAGATCCCCAGACCAACGCTGGATATGTCATAATTAAAAAGGTAAGTGGCCCTTTAATGGAATTTTTGTGGATTTCAATGTCTTTTTCATGGATTTCAAGGATCCATAAGCAGAGGCGATGTATTAGCAGTGACCTCTCTGGCATGGCAATGGACTCCTGGAGTACTCAGTCATTCCTGTCCTCCTGAAAGACAGCAGGCCAGGCATTCTGGGCCTGCCCTTTGCCATATAAAATACATAAAACACAGGATAAATAATTTTTAGTATGTGTATTTATGTCTCATGTAATATTTGGAACATACTTATGTAACCAAATGCAGGTCCAGCCACCTGAAGCTTCAAACGCTAATACATGAGAAGCAGGTGCTGATGTAAAGGAAAGAGGTTTATTCAGATGCCAACCACCTGGAAGATGGGGGCCTCATGTCTCAAAGCCCATCTTCCTGGGAAGATGCAGGACTCTTGTCTCAACACCCTTTCACATCTCAGTGCAGGCAGAGGTTTTATAAAAGGGGAGAGGGAAAGAAGAACAAAGACATCAAGGGGAGGGGCTTGAAAAGTTCTCTTCATGCAGATGAGCACAGTCCATTCCAATAAGGCAGGTGATGGCCCAGTGCGCATCATCCTGGCTTCACATCATCTTGAGTCCACGCTCAAAAATCAGCAAATCTGCCAGAGTAGGTCAGAGCCTGTATCTTTTGAAGTTAGTTCCTAGGATTCTTAGACAAACATGTTGCTTATCTACAAGCCACACATTAGTCAGAGCCACCATTTATGTTAACAGTGTCAAAAGGATGGTGGGTTATAACTCCCCACCGTTACACTTATACTAAAAAATTATTTGTTGTGTATCCAAAATTCAAATTTAACAAGGTGTTCCATATTTTTATTTGCTGAATCTGGGTGGGTGGGTGTGCTGAGGGCATTCCTTCTTCCTTTGCAAATGTAGGGTGTTAGACTGGATGAACCCTATGAGCCATTTAGGCTGTAGACCTTTTATTCTAGAGTGCTAGCCATAGAGTCCTCTTTCAAAATGACTAGAAATTGGTATATATCCTTTCAAGTTTTAAAAGACAAGTTCATCATTTCATCCTTTCTTCTCTGCCCACCCCTTACTTTCATCGTTTATGGGACTGCTAAGCCCACTGGCTCTTACTTTGTCTCTCCTTCTGTAAGGAGTAGGCAAACTGGAGCCCAAGTCTTCCTTGCATACTCCTGCCTTGTACAAGACCTTCCCATTCCTCCCTAACCTACTTCCACCCCACACTGTGCACATCTAAATCTTGACCCTTTTCTCTGTGGCTGCCTCATTTATGCTCTACCCAGGGTGTCCAACCTTTTGGCACCTCTGGGCCCCACTGGAAGAAGAGTTGTCTTGGGCCATGCATTAAATACATTGTGACACGTAATCACAAAAAAGTCTCATGTTTTAAGTAACTTTATGATTTTGTGTCGGGCTGCATTCATTGCCATCCTGGGCTGCATGCGGCTCATGGGCCACAGGTTGGGCACCCCTCTATAGAGCATTAAATGATTTACCAGATGACTCAATAGGAAGTAGCATTCAGTGTCATCCAACATATTTAGAATTAAAAGGGGTCAGAGTTACAGCAAAAAGGACTCTGCAAGCAAAGCTGAATGCTGAAGGTTTGCAGCATAGTGGACTGGAGGATCCAAAAAAAAAAAAAGGCTCTTGAGAAAAGGTTTTGTTTTGTTTTATCCTCACCTGAGGACTTTTTTTTTTTTTTTGCTTTTAGAGAGAGAGGAAGAGAGGGAGGGAGGAAGAGAGAGAGAGACAGAGGCAGAGACAGAGAGAAAGAAACATTGACGTGAGAGAGAAACATACATTGGTTGCCTTCTCATATGCGCCCTGACCAGGGATCAAACCCGTGACCTTCTGATTTGGATGATGACAGTCCAACCAGCTGAGCCAAACTGGCCAGGGTTTGAGAAAAGTTTTGAACCAGAATAAAAGAAAACTGAAGTAAAGACAAAACAGAATAATTTCACAGAAATGAATAGAAGCAATCCACGGGGCTGTGTCAGAACTCTGATCCCATTATTACCTCTGACCACAGGCCTCACTGGGTTTTAGCAGGAGGTTTGTGTGTGGACCAACTCAAACCGTTAGCCTTCTCTGTCAGTCTGGCAGCTGGAAAAGGTGCCATTACAACTTCCCCTTTGATTCTCGCTCTCTACATAGAGGAAAAGAACCAAAGAGGAAAGGATAAAGGAAAGGACATTGTTTAGAGTTTGCAGCAGACGCTCCAGGCAGCATACCCCCCATCCTCCCCCGGACCAGAGCTCTCTAGGGATCTACAAGAAAATGGAGGCCTGGCCAACTCAGCATGAATGATTCCCAATTTTTTCATGGCGGCTTGTTGTGAATCAACTTAACTTGACCGTTTGTGGCTAATGGGCACCTTTAGAGGCATGAGGGTAACTCCAGTGATCTGTGGTAGATGGGAGCTGCAAGTATCCACCTCCACAACCTGGAGGGGGTACGTTACAATAGAGCAAGCCTTGGACCAAAATCTTTGTCACACCCTTATTTTGTTTGTGGTTGTATTCCAAGTGTCTGGCATGTGGTGGAGGGTTAATAAATATTGATAGCTAAATAACGGAACTCTTTCAATTATTACAATTGTTAACAAGCAGTCACAAAAACACAATCATCCAGCTTGTACTTTAGGCTAGTGAAGTCCTGCTCTCTGTCCCTCGGGCACTGTGATAACAGCAAGGTGGGGAAAGGTGATGCAAGACGGGACAGGCCTCCTGGGACTCTGGAGGGTGTGAACTGCTAGACTAGTCAGATGCTTACACTCATGTTCACGTGATGACTGAGAGATATACTCTGTGTACCAAACTGCACGTCTTGAATACCACTAATATCACAAAATCTCTTTAGAAGACCACTTTACTGATTGACACACTCTCTAGTGCGGCTTGAGATAGAGCTAACTCAAGGCCTGTGGTATAGATCTCTGATTAGGGTCTTTCACATGCAAAGCAACAACCACCCCTGAAGTTTGAATTAGGGTACACAAACTGTCCCTAGGATATATGTACTTACTATGACAGGCATACATATTTATATTGTGTGTTTTTTTTGTATTTTAAATAAATTCCCTGTTCATTTAGCTATCAGGAAACTATCATTGAGTCAGAACCAGCATGTTAATCATTTTACATTTTTAAACTACACTTTTTAAAATTGTGTAAAAAATATAATGTGAAATCTACCCGCCTAAATTTTAGCATGTACAGTACAATATTGTTAAGTCTCTGTACCTTGTTATGTACTGGATCTCTAGAACTCTTCTATCTTGCATAAATAAAACTCTGTGCCTCTGAACAAGCACCTCCCCACTTCCCTCTGTCTACAGCTCCTGGCAGCTACCATTCTCCTTTCCTTTCTATACATTTGGCTGTTCCTGGCACCTCATATAAAGGAACCATACAATATTTGTCCTTTTCTGACTGGCTTATTTTGCTTAATATAATGTCTTCAAGATTTTTCCATATATGACAGGATTTTTCTTTTTCTAAGGCTGCATAATTTTCCTTTGTATGTGTATATCACATTTTATTTATCCATTCATCTGTCAGTGAACATTTTGGCTGTTGTGAATAATGCTAATGCTGCAATGAACATGATAGACAGATATTCTATTTTCATATTTTTAGTATGCATATCCAGAAGTGGGATCGCTGGATCACAGAGTAGTTCTAGTTTTAATTCTGGAGGGAATGCTGTTTTCCATAGCTGTTGTAATATTTCACATTCCCACCAACAGTGTACAGGGATTCCAGTTTCTCATATTCTCACCAGCACTTGGGTTTTTTTTCTTTAAAAAAATGTTATAATAGCCATCCTAACAGGTGGTTTTAAGTTACATTCCCATGATGATTAGTGCTGTTGAACATTTTTTAATGAACCTGTTGGGTAGTTGTATGTCTTCTTTGGAAAAATGTCTATTGAAGTCCTTTGTCCATTTTTAAATCAGGTTACTTGTTTTTGCTGTTAAATTGTAGGAGTTTCTTATGGATTTTACATATTAACCCCTTATCAGATATATGGCTTGCAAATATTTTTCCCATTCTGTAGGTTGTCTTTTCACACTGCTGATTCTTTCCTTCATTGTGCTTTTTAGTTTGATATGGTCTCGCTGTTGTGTTTTTTGCTTTTGTTGCCTTTGCTTTCGGTATCATATCCAGAAACTACATGTCTTAATCACAAGCCTTTCAGCAACTGCTCATCTAAATTACAACTGTGCTAATCGGAGGTGAAATTTACTGAAACACCCATACCTCAACTGTAACTCATTTTGCCTTATGAAGCACTTCTGCCTATGCTGCCCTTTACTTTTCATGCTGATTATGAGAGAAGCAGAAATAAATCTCAGGGGCAGAGGAGGTTCAGGCCCACAGCAAGATACAGTCAGGGGCCTCAGTGATGGCACAGCTGAGATCTGGACCCCACACTTCTGGCTTGTCTTAGGAAATGATTTCTGTTGAGGCCGGGTGTTGTCCTTACTTGCTCTGTGACCATGACCACATGACAGAATCTCTCAGGTCTCAGCTTTCTGATCTGTAAAAATGGGTAAAATAGTAACACCTTCTTCATAAGGATGTTGGAGGATTAAATGTGGAAATACATGTGTTGCTCTTAACATAGCACCCAGTAGATAGTAAACTTAAATATTCATCATTATCTTCATTTAATTAATTAGAACTAGGGCAGAAGCCAGGATTCTACTTGTGGAGAGGTGTGCTTTCCCTTCTTGCCAAGGGGACCAAACTTGCCTAATCCAGAAGTCAAATGGTACCTACTGGGGACTGCTGACTCAGCCTCTCCCAGGAAGGGCCTGGAAATCAGCGATTTTAACAAGACTCCTGCAAAAGGGAAGAGAAAACACTTTTGTTTTTCTCCTTTACTCTCACATGACTCCCACACTACACTATACTTCTGACACGCATGGGGTGGGCTTTCCACACATCAAGCAATTCTCTAACACCAGCCTGATGCACTGCGATTCAGCTCAGTTCTGACATTCTCTGTGTGCACGTAGCACAGACCCCAAAGGGTAAGAGCTCAGTTCCATAAGACTGCCCCTACTCTAGAAGCTAATTGCAAATCCCAGGTTGTCATCTTTACTTCTGACTGGCTGGTTATAAATCGGAGGTTCCTATGACTCCCTCCTCAGGTTCCATCATTTGCTAGAACAGCTCATAGAACTCAGAAACACTAACATGAACCAGTTTCTTCTATGTTAAAGGTTATGATAAAGGATACAGGTGAACAGCCAGGTAAAGAGATACAAAGGACAAGGTCTGCAGTGGCCCTGAGAGCAGAAGCTTCTCTCCCTACGGAGTCGGGGTATACTGCTCTCCCAGCACAAGGATGTACCAACCCAGGCTCTCCAAACCCTATGCTTGGGGGATTTTTATGGAGGCTTCATCATGTAGTCAGGATTGATTATTAACTCAGTCTATAGCTTCTCTTCCCTTCCCTGGAGGGGATGGTGGGATGGGGCTAAAAGTTCCAAGCTTCTAATCCTGGCTTGGTGTTTCTGGTGACCAGCCCCATCTAGGAGCCCATCAACAGTTGCCTCATTAGAACAAAAGACATTCCTACTACTCAGGGAATCCCAAGTGATTTAGGACCTCAGTCTCAGGAACTGAGGTCAGAGATCAAATATTAGAACAAAAGATGTTCTTAGTGTTCTTATCACGGAGGAATTGCAAGGGTTTTAGGAGCTTCTGTGCCAGGGACTAGGGGCAGAGACCAATATATGTGTTTTCTATCATTTCACATGCCTCAAGAGATGCTTAGGATTAAACAAGGTTTAGGAATGCTGTCCTACTCAATACTGACTGCCGCCCAAAGCTCTGGCCTGGCGTGTGGGAGACCATGATACTCTGGAGGCCAAGTGAGTGTCAGGAGCAGGAAGACTGTTTCTTTGAGGCTTGCCAGCTCATCAACGGCTCTGCTGGGACTCCCTTTCTTAAAATTTGGGGTTTGTTTTAGCTTTAGGGGTTTTTTTTAATGCAAATTTTGCCAGTTCTCCATTATAAATGGTTGTTTTGAATTCTCAGTACATGGCCTATTTTTTAACCAGCCCAGTGTCATCTGGAAAACTAATGCATACACTTTTTTCTCATCATGATCATTGGTAAAAATGTTAAATATCCCTCGCTGTAACTTCTACCTCTGCCTTCAGGCTGAATCTAAATCACTAGGTTTGACCTTTCAAGCAATTGTGTACAGAAGAGGAACTGTGGCCTGAGCATATTTTTTGAGCTTATTTGATGACTGTGTCTCCCAGACAGGACCTGAGGCCTCCCCAAGAGGCATGATGGGTCTCTCTTGACTTGGCTCTGAAGGCACACCCCTGTGTTATGAAAGACGATACACATGGTTTGACAAGTCTTTTCCTTGATTAACTCTGTTGCTTATCATGAGCTAATTTAGTATCTTTCAGTTCTTGTTTTCTCCCTGGAAGATCTGGCTCAGGGTTTTTTCCTGGTGTGAAAGCTAAGCAGACTGATCAATGGCTGGCTGCTTTTTTTTTATTCCTTCTCCCCTTTAATAAGTGTTTAAGGGGAGCTGACCCCTTTCCTAACTGATCTCCCTGTCTGGGTCTGGGTCACCTCAAAGCCATCTATCATGTGGCTGCCCCCAGAGTTATCTTTCTAAAACACTAATCTGACCTCGTCAGTCTGGTGCTTAACACTTCTCTCTGCTCCTCAAGTATAAAGTCTCAGCTCCCCAGCTTGATGTACGTGGTCTTTTCCACCATCTCTTTCTATCTCAGCCTCACTGTTCTGTTCTGGTAACACAGGCTACTTCTCAGTTGTACACATACTGTCTCATCTCTTTATCTCTCAGCTTTGGGGGCCACAGTGACAGGATGGGAAAGCCACAGGGAAGAGACTTGGGACCTGCTTGGTGGCAAGGAGGAGATGTGCCCCCTCTGCCTGAGCACTCAGGTAACTATGCCACCTGCCTCAGCCTGGGCGTGGCTGGACCAGCGAGGAACAGAGCACTTGGCCTTTGTCCTCATCGTGGGCTTCTGGGGGCTGCTGCCTTTTGGTCCCATCTTCCAGATTTCTCAGTTTGATGCCTCTGCCTTCATCCCTGAGAGGAGAAGTGGGCCTCTGGGAGTGGGGGCTCTAGTTCCCCAACCCCCACCCCTGCCCTGAGGTGAGGAGCCCTATCAGACCATGTGGTTGTAATCAAGAGGTCATTGTGAGGCCATACCCTGCAGACACTGGGCACTTATCTCTGTGAACAAGCTCTCTCTTTTCACATCTCAGCTGGCTTACAACATTATACATGCTCTATATTTATATTCTGTCAATTGCTTCTTAATTTCTATCTCAAATGACTCTGTATCTTTATGTATAATTCTCTTCCATATGAGCAATCTTTCTATTGAACTAAAAATTGGGTTGTGATGTTGTGTGTGTGTGTGTGTGTGTGTGTGCATAGGGGAGAGGGGTCTCTGGGAGGCAGAGATCTCATCTGGACTCTTCCTCTGGAGCCCTCAAGGGCTCAGGAAGGACCAACACCATCTCATCTGTATGTTTCCTGACTAATATGAGTACTGCATGTCAAGGACGAGATGAAAAGTAGTGATGAATATAACACAATTCCTCCCTTCAGAGAGCTTATGGTCAGTAAGAATCTAAAGCAGATCATGAAACAGCTAGAATCCTGAGACAGGTACTGTGAGATAGCAGAGGATGTGGAGCTCGTCCATTTGGGGATGGAGGGTGGGGATCAGGGAAGCTGATCTTAAGAGACAACACTGAGCCAACTTCTGACTCGAGGAGAATTTTTTTCAGATGTTAAGGAAGAGCAGGCTGAGCTAATGCCATCATGTGTTGAACCCTCCATGCGTTTTCCTCTTCACAAATGGGTATTACCACTTCTGTTTAACCAATGCTATAAATAGATACAAACTAAAGTTAAAGGATTGACAGCTCTCCAAGAGGTCCTGTGTGCTCCAGGCATGGAAGAGTGAATAATATAGTGCAGGTTCTATAATCTATAATGTACATTTCGGGTTTTGCTTTGGTTCCTTCATCTTTTTCAGGTCCTGGATACCACTGAGACTGACAAATCTACGTATCCTCTCCCTAGAAAAAAAGTTCACATATGCACATAATATTTAGATTTTGGTTTCTAGGGGTTTTCCTCACAGAATCATGGACTCTGTGCCTTGCAGGAATCCTTAAAAGCCACATAGAGCCAATGCTTAAATGATATTTAAGTCCTTTCCATGCTAGCCTGTCACATGTTATTTAAGCCCATTCTTGAAGAATTTCCAGAGTTGAGAACCTATTGCTTTGGAAGCAACTCTTTTTTTCTTAGGTAGTCCTAACTCTTACATTCTTCCTCATACTAAACCAAAATTGGTTTCTTGGTTTTTCCTTTCCGGTCCTGTCTGGAATGACCTGGAACAAGAGCAGGTCAACTATGTATTCAATCCTCCCTTCTGACCTCTCTCACCCTCCCTGAGTTTAAGGACTTTCATTTTGGGGTTTGGATCCTGAGGTTCCTGGAAAATCATTTTCCATATAATATGGAAACCTCTATCTAAGCATTTCCCACGCTGTCTTCTGGGAATTCCCTTGAGCGAATCAGTAAGTTTCTGCTGAATGAATGAATGAACTGCCCCAGGGTAAAATAAATTTGAGGAGTGCGCATTGATTGACTCTCCTAGGAGAGCCTTAATGCATATCAGCACATTAAAAGTGCTGGTGAATCCTGCAGCACAGACTTTCTGGTAGCTCTGTTGTCATTTGAGCAGTAGGTGTTTGCTGGCACTGACTTGAGACTTGCTTGCTCAGCAAGAGTTTTTACAGGAGAATAGGGCATGGATATTTGAAGGGAGCTAGTCATCTTCAAATTAATTTTCTCTGTTTTTTTTTCCCCTACACAGCCTCTTGATTTTGAAACAACCCCCATTCACAACATTGTGTTCCAAGCGGAGAATCCTGAGCCCCTGGTGCATGGTGTACAGTACAACGCCAGCTCTTTTGCCACATTCACTCTTTTTGTGATCGATGTGAATGAAGCACCTCAATTTTCCCAACACATATTCCAAGCAAAAGTCAGTGAAGATGTGGCTAAAGGCACTCAAGTGGGCAACGTGACTGCCAAGGATCCGGAAGGTCTGGACATAAGGTAGAGAGCAGGGCTGGGCAATCCGATCTGTGCTGTGACCAAGGTCATTGGGAGAGAAGAAGGGCTGGGAGGGGCAGAGGAGCTGGCCTAATTCCAAGGCTCTCTCCTAAAGGAGCAGCCAGTGATCTGAAGCCATATCCAGTACACATGGTGAACTTGGTCTTGGTTCCTGAAGGGTTCAGTTCCCCAGGCGAAGAGGGAGGGAAACACAGTCTCAGGCAAGTGGGAAGCATGTCAGGTTCCATCTGGCCACTCACTGTAGTCCCACTGAGAGCTGGTAAGTTCAGGAGATGGAGGTCTACAGACAGGGCGGCCCAAACCCAGGTCCTGTGTCTGAACCAGTCCCAGAGGCTCGGGTTCAGGGAAGGGTTCCAGCCCAGCCCCTAAAGCAGCCTGGAGGTCTAGAGTGAGAGAATGAAGCAAAAGCCCAACTGGAAAGACTCAGCCACCTGACATGTTTAAAGGAATCTTCTGGGTGTAGAGTGTATAGGTTCCTTAGCTCTCTGGAGAGCACATATGGGGCAATAAGACTCATCCTATAGCATACCCCTGGGGGGCTAGTGCTCAGGCTGAGGGGGTTAAACAAATGTATATATCTTTCCATCTTAGCAATTCTTAATCATATTTTCAGTGTAATAGGATTCACACAGATTTGCCTTAAAAATGTACAGTGATAATTGATTTGCCCAAGAAGTATGTATGTGTGTATATCTACATCTGTGTCTATAACCTCTTTGACCTCTGTAAGGTTGCATAGTTAATGAGCACATAGACAGGACTTGAGCCCAGATCTTTTGCTTCTATTGTATAATAGCCCTACTGTCTAAGATATGGCAAATATCTCAGCATGACATAAACCAATGCATGTGGCTATGATGACAATTCCTTAAGTTTCTTTAAACATTTGTGGGAAGTCTTGCCTCTCAAAGAGCTGCCATTTAGGCACTCGGAATCAATTCTAAGACCTTTTCTGACTGTCAAAAGGTAAAGTTATCCCCTATGGTTTTACTCTTCTAGTTTACTTCTTCTCTCATTTTATGAAGAGGGAAAGGCCAGTGCGAGGCTGTACTGTTTGGTTTAGTAGAGATATACTCCATACATAAGACTCACAAATTCTGATCGGGGGCATGTGTTTATGATTTTACAGCCATGTGTTTATATGCTGCTGCCTCCTTCATGAGGATGCTATAAAAATTACTTGTTTTGCCCTGGCTAGGAAGCTTAGTTAGTTAGAGCATCATCCCAATACTCCAAGGTTGTGGGTTTGATCCCAGGTCAGGCACATACAAGAATCAACCAATGAATGCATAAATAAGTGTAAATGAGTGGAACAACAATCAGTGTTTTTCTTTCTTTCTCTCCTTTCCTCTTTCTCTCTAAAAATCTATTTAAAATTTTTTGTTTAGAAAAACCAGTACTCATGGGCTTGGACAGCAGTGTGGTGATTACCAGGGGGAGGAGTGAAGGGAGGTAGAGGAAGGTAAGGGGGCATTAAATGGTGATGGACAGAGACTTGACTTGGGGTGGTGAGCACACAATACAGTGTACAGATGATGTGCTGCAGAAGTGTGTACTTGAAATCTGTATGATTTTGTTGACCAGTGTCACCCCAATAAATTCAATAAAAAGGAAAAAAAATAAAAATCACTAGTCAAAAACAAATGAATAAAAGTGTGAGTTTATGAGTGGGAAAACAAAGTCACTTAAGAAAATTTCTCAGATAGATCAAGGGAAAGATATGAGCTATTCCTTGGCCTTTCTGCGTGAGCTTGTGCATTCTCTTCTGCTTAAAGCCGCTTCCTTTTTCTTACCTTAGTTAACATCTACTTCTTCAGAAAGACTGCTCTGAGTCTCATGAACTTCTCTGGGATTCCATTGGGCCCCTCTTATTGTCTTTACCACATTTTATTGGAATTATCTATCTCTGGGTCTGTCTCTTCTATGGGCCTAGGAACCCCTTTTTGTAATCTCCTGTCTTGGTCCACCGCCTGGTATTTGCTAAGCACTCAACAGATGTTTATTGAATGAGCATTCAGGCCACCAGCAGCCTCTGAGTATCCACCCGTTCACACAATGCCTCCCCCACTAGGAGTTCAAGTTTTCTTAGAAGGGTAGTTTGCTAATCATTTTTAATAGGTACTTCCAGATTGTTTTCATTGGAATTCTTCGATTGCCAGAAAGGTTAAACATTCCCACCCACCAACAGTTTGTGACTATTCCTTTTCTAATAAAACAAGTACAGCTACCACTTTGTAAAGATGAGCAAATCCTGGTTTTGAAGGTAGATGGTATGCAAATAAAAGCATTAATAATGTTAAATAATGACATTTCAAATATGCCGTGAATATTATGCAAGGGATAGTGTTGACATAATAGCATAGTTATGCATAAACTACCTTCATGTTTTTGCATAAAGTAATGTGGGCTTTCTTCTGCTCTTCCCACCTTATGAAGTTATTCACTGAGAGGTGACAGGAGAGGTTGGCTTAAAATTGATCCGGTCACTGGTGGGATCTTCAGTGCGGCTCCACTGGACAGAGAAGCTGAAAGTCTGTATCGGGTAAAAGTGGTGGCAACTGAAGTAGGTGAGCAAAAAAAAAAAGTAACAAATTACTAGGGGTTACATCAATAGAAATAGGAGGGAGGGAAAGTGGGTGGGGAAATTCACTGGGTTGGATTGTCAGAATATCTTATAGTGGAAGGACAAGAAGGGTACCAAAGCCGAGGGAACTATTTCCTGATTTTGTTCGAGAACTACCTGTGCCCTGAGCACCTTCAGGGTTGTCCTTACAGTCTGGCTAGGGTTTGTGGGTGCTACTCACTCTGGTTTCCTGAAGGGACTACAGCTCTAGGGAGGTCCCCCTGTGCCTGCTGCACTACCTGGCTTCTCCAAAGTGGTTGGGGGTTTCTCCTGGAAGTGGGGTCAAACCACTGCCTGGCTGACCTATACCATTACTTCCTCCTTTAGCCTTAAATTGCAACAGCCCAGGCCTCATCCTTTTGAAACAAAAGGCTTTATGTGATGTTCTCACTTTGATGTACACCAGAATCACCTGAGTAGCTTGCTCAGTACATACTCTGGGAGTTCACTTACTGATTTTGATTCAGCCACTTTGGGTGGCCCGGGGTATCTGTGTTTTGATGGAGTAGGGTGAACTTTGGAGACACTTACTATTTAAATAAGACAAGGATGTTTATTTATTTATTTATTTTTTAGATTTTATTTATTTATTTTTAGAGAGAGAAGGGAGGGAGGAGAGAGAGAGAGAGAGAGAGAGAGAGAGAGAGAGAGAAACATCAATGTGCGGTTGCTGGGGGTTATGGCCTGCAACCCAGGAATGTACCCTGGCTGGGAATCAAACCTGGGACACTTTGGTTCCCAGCCCGCGCTCAATCCACTGAACTACGCCAGCCAGGAAGGATGTTTATTTTTATGTAACCTTTACATCCCATTTAATTCGATTGTGGTGATATATATCACCCACTGGTTCTAAATGTGGAGTTCCAGAGAATTAAAAAAATTAAAATTAAAATAAACTCACAGAAGTCTTATGCTTACCAGTGATAAGAGTGGTAATTAAAATATGGAGTTTCTTTGCATTTAAATGGAATTTTTCAACTTTGAGTTGGAATTCTGTTAATACCAAAAAATGAGAATTGAACAAATTATGACTAAATACATACAGTGTTAGACCAAAACATAAACTCTGAAAATGTGTGGCTCAGGGTTGGTAGCTGGAATGGGGTGCATTTCAGGAGGTAGGAATCATGAAAGTGTTACCCACGTGTGAAAGATGAATGAAAACAAAGGACTGAGGTCAGATGGAACCAACGAGGGTAGAAACGTAGAAGTGTGTGCCGAGTTTTGAAGGGATGTGTGTGACTGGGCCGGCCACTGGCCATGCCAAGGTAGGCCAGTCACTGGGTCTCTCTTGCTTGTTTCTAGTTAGCACGTTCCAGTATCACATTGTACACCTTTAGGTACATTCTGGATTTAACAGCTCCCAGTTAATCAGGAGGAAGCTTCTGGCTGGCCCTTCCTGCTGTGCATCCCACTGCAACACACTGTGGGGGGTCCAACTTCACTTTGCATGCTTCCTAAAGACCTCTCACATTTAACAGATTTATGAATGAAAACCAGGGTTCAAAACCCTGCTCCATTTTGCAGTTGTCCACCCTGAAATGATGCAAATAGGTGAAATGACCTCAAGAGCCCAGTGGCTTTTCCTCCTTTGGTTAAGTGTGGTCAGGGGCATAGAAGACAGTTGAAAAGAAAAGCCAGAACACAGAGTTCGCTGGAACTGAAGCAGGTTGGAGCCAGAAACTGTAGAAACGGTATCTGTGATTGAAGTCAGGGAGAATGCAAGCAGTGTTTTTGCGTTGCACTGACAGCCCCATTTAAACACTCAGTGTAATGACTTACTCCCCATACAACGCTGTGGGGTAGGTACTGTTATTGAGCATATTTTTACGGATGACGAAACCAAGGTACTGAGCAGTTAAGTAGCTTGCTCATGTTCACATAGTTACCAACTATTCAGGCTACTGAGTCCAAATTTTTCACCACTCTTGTGTAGCCCTTCACTATTTTCTAAGAGCACTATGTGTGGGACCCTCACAAAACCACATGTATTACAGCTGAAGACAAGAGGCTTAGAGAACCTAACATGCCTAAGTCAGCATTGAGGAGCAATGGGAGGTATGGGCTCTAATGTCAGACCTTCTGGGGTGGAAGCTTCTCTTGTGTATGACCTTGGGCAAGTCACAGAACTTCTGTAAGCCTCAGTCTTCTCATCTGTAAATGTAAATTAGAGTTGTTTTCAAGTAATGGACCTAAAATATTAGCACATAAACCTTAGGTATTATCATTAAGACTGTTTCACCAGCAAATGAAAACAGGTCTGGTTCTAAAAGTTTGTTACCTTTCTACTGCCTCAATATACCCAACTACTTGAATTGTAATAAAAAAAAGAGAAAATATTCTATCTTACGAAGAGGAAATGAGAGAGCTGACACTCTGTTTCAATCACTCAATCCCTCAGGTGGAGCATCCTTGAGCAGCACGGTGGATTTCCACCTAACGCTGACGGATGTGAACGACAATCCTCCCCGGCTGGCGAAGGATTACACAGGCTTGTCCCTCTGCCATCCCCTCAGACAACCCGGCAGTCTCATCTTTGAGGCTACAGATGATGATCAGCAGTCATTTCGGGGTCCACAGTTTACATTTTCCCTTGGCAGTGAAAGCTTACAAAAAGACTGGGAGGTTTCCAAAATCAATGGTGAGTTGTCCAAAGTACATTGAGTAAAACACTGTTGAATGATGAGATTAGTTTTTATTTGCCTTGATATGCTTGCAGCACTCAGTGCAGAGTTTTTCTCGCGTGCCCCAGGAAGGGACTTCATGCTCTGGGAGCTTGCACAGGCTGCTCTTGTATCCTGTAACACTGCGGACCTCATCACCAGTTCTCTCTCTTTCAGATTCCATACATTTTCAATTATATCAGTCAACTTTGGATCTTAAACTAGTCTGCTGTTCCTGGGATAAAGTCTACTTGGTTGTGAAATACTAGCATTTTTTAATATTGTTGGATTGGATTTGATAAAATTTTAAGAATTTTTACATCTATATTCATGAGGCATATTAGTCTACATTTTTCTCTTTTTTGTAGTGTCTTTGTGTGGTTTTGATGTCAGAGTACTACTAATCTCATAGAATGAGTGAAAATGTGTTCTACCTCTTCAGTTATCTGGAAGAGTTCGTTTTGAATAAAATTGTTTTTTATTTCTTTCTTAAAGTTTGAAGCCATGTGGGCCTGGAGGTTTCTTTGTAGGAAGTTTCATCAACAAATACAACCTCTTAATAGATATAGGGCTATTCAAATTATAGATTTCTTCTTGGTTGAGCTGGTAGTTTATATCTTTTATATAATTTGTCTATTTGATTTGATTTGTCTAATTTATTCACACATGCTATTTATAATATTATTTTATTATTCTCTTAATATCTGCAGACCATGTAGTGATATCACCTCATTTGATGTTAGAAAATAATGTCTCTTCTTTTTTTCTTGATCAGTCTGGTGAGAGATTATTAATTTTATTGATACTCTCAAAAAACCAGTTTTAAATTTCATTGCTTTTATTCTTTATTTTGTTTTATTTTGTATTTCATTGCTCAGATACATATTATTTCCTTTATTTTTCTTATGCTATATTTAATTTGTTCTTGTTCTATTTTCATTTTGGTGGAAGCTGAGGTAATTAATTTGAGAACTTTTTTTCTGTTAACATAGGCATTTGGTGCTATAAATTTATCTTTTATTATCTCTTTGATTGCATTTCACAAAGTTAGATGTATTGTTTTCATTTTCTTTTTTTTTTAATATTTTATTTATTTATTTTTTAGAGAGGGAAGGGAGGGAGATAGAGAGAGAGAGAGAGAGGAACATCAATGTGCGGTTGCTGGGGGTTATGGCCTGCAACCCAGGCATGTACCCTGGCTGGGAATCAAACCTGGGACACTTTGGTTCCCAGCCCGCGCTCAATCCACTGAGCTACGCCAACCAGGGCTTTGTTTTCATTTTCATTCAGTCCAAAATACTTCAGAATTTTTCTTTAGATTTCTTCTGTTACCTATGAGTTATTTAGAAGTATGTTATTTAGTTTTCAAATATCTGTATATTTTTAACTTAATTCCATAGTGACCAGAGAACATTTGACTAGAATACTTTTCAATTTATTGAGACTTTTTTCTTTCAGTACTTTAAAGATATTTCTCCACTGTGTTCTGGATTGTATTTTTTCTTTTTTGTTCCTTTGAGTGTAATGTGTCTTTTTTTTTTTCCTGGATGCTTTTAAGATTTTTCTCTAAATTACTAGCTTTAAGCAATTTGATTATTATATGCTTTGTCATAGTTCTGATTTTCTTTTCCCTGAGATTTGCTGGTCTTGTTTGATTGAAGATTTAGTTTTTATTAAGTTTGGGAAAAAATTAGCAATTATTTCTTCAAGTATTTTTTTCCTAAATCAGTGTTTAATGGCAACTTTATAGAACATCACTACTTGGAATAATGATAGCTGACTGTATTTAGTACTTGTTTCTACAGAGAAATCATGAATTGAGGACTCGAAAAATGCTTTAGCCCTCTTTGACATTTTGGCAGGTAAAGGTGGGTGGTGATACTTCAGATAGTTTAACTCATATCTAACCATTTCCCAGTCACCCTTAGTGTGTGATACAAAGATGAGCTTTATTCCTGCTGATCCAGGGTCTGAAGTTGTGTTCCTTGTTGTTTACTTTATTCCTATTGTGACAGGAACTTATGCCAGACTCTCCACCAAGCACACGAGCTTCGAAGAGAGAGTGTATGACATCCCAATCCGCATCAACGACGGGGGCCGGCCACCCTTGGAAAGGACTGTCTCTTTACCAGGTAGGTATTTTGCTGCAGGCACTTTGGGGTATTATCACGGGTAGTTTGAAAGAATTCTTGTCTTTGATTCTTCAGTTCACTTAAAAATTTAAACTCCCAAATTCCGTTCTGCTTTCCAGTTACTTTCTGCACATGCACGGAAGGAAGTTGTTTCAAGCCCGCAGGTCACCTTCCCGGAATGCCTACTGTGGGCATGGCAGTTGGCATACTCCTGACTACGTTTCTGGTCATTGGTGAGTGGAATAGCTCAGATTCCAGGATTTCTGTCCTGGTCCTCAGACACATTAACTCACCTAAGGGTCTGCCTTAAAGGGCTGCTGTGGTGGCTTCTCCAATGGCAACCTAGACAATAGCCAAGAACATAGATCACCGGTAAACCATATCAAACTTTCCTGGTTGGGAGATACTGTTTTAGTACCACCATCCACCTATCATTGCCTTGTGGGTTACTTTGGGAAATATTATAACATGAGAGGCTTGAAAACATAAATGGTTATATTCTATGCCTAGTCGCTAAGTGTTCATGATACCAGAGAGATGCAGTCGCTGTGCCCCTGCTATGTGCCAGGCACTGTGTTTGGTCTGCAGAGCACAGTGGTGGGCAAGACGTAACAGAACCTAACTCACAGGGCTTATGATGTAGTCTGCCACGTTGGAACAGGGAGCAGTTAGCTTTCTGGGGAAGATGCTGACATACATGAAATGCGGCAGAACTTTCCTTTGTATCTGTCCATGACTGTGGACCATAAATCTTTATTAAACCATAATCATCCCAGTGCATTATAGGCTTTATTTGGCCTTGGCCCCTGGTCCGGCTAAGCTGCACAGTCCCTGCGCTAACTGTCTGCTTTTCTGTGAACATCTCAGTGCATACCATAGTGATTACTATCCTACAATTGTTGTGCTCACCACAAGTTTTATAAATAAATACTTCATCAATTCATGTGTACCTGAGTGTAGGGGTTTATACAGTTTCACATCCTTTCTTTTTTAAAGGAAGGGCTAAGATTATTTCAAGTATTCTTAATCTTTCTCTCATCATCTGATCTTTTCTGCCACAATCCAATCTGTCACACTGGACTCTGATTCACAGCCCTAAAGAGGATCTCATTTCCTTATAGCCTTCCATTCAAACTCTTCATTATTATGACATGGAAGTGTCTTCCTGACATGGCCATTACCCATCTTAACATGTACATGGTGGCCATCATTTCTCCCCAAGGACACCTGGTACACACCTTTCATATTGACTGAACTAGCTTTTTTAGGTCCCACTCAGTTACCTAGATCCCATCTCCCTCTATGCCTTTTCTTATTCCAATTCACCTCCCTTCTTGAAAGGGTTTTTGAGGTTATGCACCAAGCAGCTGTTTACTAATATGACCATTTAATCTCATAATTTTGCTACAAGTTAAGGATTGGGTGAGTTTGGTGACATACAGAGATAGAAGTAATAGAATCTTATTATTTCATGTCCTTTTGTCAAAATAGGGTTGGGATTATTGCAAGATTCTTTTTTTTAAATAACCACAGAATAAAGGTTTATTAAATTATAGTTGTCATACAATATTATGTGAATTTAAGGTGTACAATTTGGTTATTCAATAATTATATACCTCACAAAGTGATCACTGTAATAAGTCTAGTAACCATCTGTCATCGTGCAAAGTTATTATAACACTGGTGACTGTATTCCCTATGCTACACATTACATCCCTGTGACTTATTTATTTTATAACTGGAAAGTTGGACCTCTTATTCTTCTTTACCTTTTTTTGCCCATCTACCCATGCTCCTATCCTCTGGCAACCAACAGTTTGTTCTCTGTGTCTGTGAGTCTGTTTCTGTTTTGTTTGTTTATTTGTTTTGTTGTTAGATTCCACATATAAGTGAAGTCATATAGTATGTGTTTATTGCCATTTTGTTAGTTGTTCTCTAGTTGTATTTGACATTCTTCTCTGTTCCTTTCTTTTTCTCATGCTTCCACCCCTTGTGATGTGATGAGTTTCTTTGGTGTTATTTTTAGATTTCTTTCTCTATTTTTTTGTGAATCTATTATAGGGGTTTGGTTTTTGGTTACCATGAGACTCATATAACAGTCTATGTATGTAACAGTCTATTTTAAGTAGATGATTTCTTAAGTTCAAATGCATTCCAAAAGCATTACATTTCTACCCCCTATTTTATGTTTTTACATTATGTGTCTTTGTGTGTTTGTATGTTTTTATCTCTTAACTAATTATTATTGATATAGATGATTTTACTACTTTTGGTTTTTAACCCTCATATTAGCTTTTAAGTGGTTGATCAACTACTTTTACTACATGTTTGCCTTTGCCAGTGAGATTTTTCCTTTCATATGGCTTCTCATATCTAGTGCTGGCCTTTTCTTTTTCTGCTCAAAGAAGTTTCTTTAATATTTCCTGTAATGCTGGTTTTATGGGAGTTCCCCTGTGTGTAACTTTTTTTTTCTCTTGCTGCTTTAAGATGTTTCTTTTTGTTTCTAACTTCTGAAATTTTAATTATGATGTATCTTAGTGTGGGTTTCTTCAGGTTCATCATGTTTGGGACTCTCTGCGCTTCCTGTACTTGGATATCTGTTTCCATTGCCAGGTTAAGGAAGTTTTCAGCCATTATTTCTATATATAAGTTTTTGTCCTTTCTCTTTTTCCTCTCCTTCTGGGACCTCTATAATACAAGTGTTAATAAACCTGATATTGTCTCAGAGATCTCTTATACTTTCCTGATATTTTTTTATTCTTGTTTCTTTTTGTTGTTTTGATTAGGTGATTTTCACTACTCTGTCTTCCATATCACTTATCTGTTCTTTTGCATCACCTAATCTGCTGTTAATTCCCTCTAGTGTGTTTTTCATTTCAGTTATAGTATTCTTCAGTTCTGATCGGTTCTCTTTTATAGTTTCCATCTTTTTGTTGAAGTTCTCTCTGTGTTCATCCATACTTCTCCTGAGTTGAGTGAGCACCTTTACAATCTTTACTTTGAACTCTGTATCTGAGAGATTGCTTATTTCCATTTCATTGAGTTCTTTTTCTGTTGTTGTTGTTGTTTGGAATATATTCCTCTGTTTCCTTATTTTGCCTAAGTCTCTGTGTTTGTTCTACACATTAGGTAGATCAGCTATGTCTTGCCCTTGTATAGAAGTTGCCCTGTGAGGCCCAGTGGCACAATCCCTCCTGGCACCAAGGCCAGAAACTCCAGGGGCTTCACATGTGGGCTGTGTGCACCCTCTTGCTGTGGTTGTGCCATTACTATGTAGGCATGCCGTTGCTCAGGGCTAGAAGGCTGACCCACAATTGTCCTGAGTATACTGGTATGTTGGAGAGACCCCTGGCTTTGCTAGCTGTGGTGTTCAGCCACAACTGCTGCCATGCACTGGTGTGCTATGGGGCTGTGACACCCAGCCTCTATCCACTTTTTTGGGTGTATTGGTGTAGGGGGACTAGCCCACCAGATTGGAGAGAATCCAGGGCCACCAGAGGTGACCTGCCAGGATCCTTGCTTTAAGTTTCTTAATGGGTCTCTGAGCATCCAGTCTTTTCTGTCACAATCCTCCTATGAACTTACTGCCCAGTTAATTTTTAAAAAAATAACTCCTTTTTCCCTATTGGTCTCTGATTTATAGTACACATTTGGTGCCAAATGCACAGTGTAATTTTGTAGGAGTTCAGAGGTGAGAGAAATCTGAAAGGTTAGGTAGTCTACTCAAACTGGATCTGTGAGGAAGATGCCAAGAAAATGTGGTATTTGATGTGGACACAGTGAAAATAGGCTTAGGTGTGTGAACAGGTCTGAGAACAGCTTTCTGGTTGTTCTGATTAGACTATTTCTTTTATGGAAAGGGACAAAGGTCTGGAATCAATATTTATCGACTATGTGCAAAATTTGGGAATTCTGTCTATAATTCCACACTTAGTTTTCAGGGGAATGCAGGCATTAAGTTCTATTTTCCTTGATAGAGACCAAGAAATAGCCGCAAGCTTAGAAATGATTTGAGACTTGGTGCGTACTTACTAGCAATAAGATAAGTGATAAGCTTACTTATCCAAGAAGGCCAAGGCCTAGAATCCCTTATTCACCAGGACAACGAAACGTTGTTGACCGCAAACAAAAATGAAATTGTATGAGTCATTTTTTCCTACCACGGTACTACTTTCTAAATGAATGTGACAGTACACTTTAAGATTCCATCTCTTTGACCCTGAGTTTTCTGTTTCAGGTATAATTTTAGCAGCTGTGTTTATCCAAATAAAGAAGAATAAAGGCACAGACAATGTTGAAAGTGCTCAGACATCTGAAGCCAAACCTCTGAGAACATGAATTTGAAAAGGAATGTTCGTGTTTATGTACCAAGTGCTATTTCAGTAACACAACCATTTAATCCCATAATTTTGTTTTTCATCCGACATGTGCACCGTAATTTTTTAGAGATATACTTTCTTGCCCTTTCATATTTTATTACTTTTAGTTATTTTATGTGTGATAGACATAGGAGATAGTTTCCATTTTCCCATGATAGTTTTCTCCTCTGCAAAAGCCTTAGCTATTTATGCCAAAACAAAATATATGTCTTTCCCCATTAGGGAAAGATGCGGTGATAAAATAATCTGTGTATTTTTCCTTTGTCAAGGAGATTTATCAGTCACCCATCACAGAACTTCCTGGATTCCATTTATACTTTTTATCCACCTGTGTCTCACTCCTGTCTCCTTTAGTATTTCACAAATTTAAAAATATTTGCTGGAGAAAAGACAAAGTAAAAGTATTATTAAAAATTAAAAGAGGAGCCTTGTCCCTTAGGTTGAACAGAAACTCTTTGGTGTCATTAGCCTTTCTTAGTGCAGTGTGACTTGTGTGGCTCTTCATCTGAGGATTCTCCACTTGGGAACGTCACAAGCCCACCGCAGGCCACAGGGAGCGCTCCACAGAGACCAATCGCTGACGGGGTTTACATAATACCTATTACACTGACATACGTACATGCTGCGCATGTTTTCTTTATGTGTATATTAATGAAGTTTTAGTTATTGTATATTTAATGTGTTGTGGAAAATGAGGAAGTGTGAGAGAAATAGTGACAAAAATCAAGAATAAATGTTGGCTGTGGTTGTTTTTGTTTTCCTGAATCACTTTTGTTCTACTTCCTTGTTCTTCACATTTATTGAGTAGAGGGCTGGATGACAATGGTTACCTATTATTTATCAAAATTATCTTCCATGTAGAACTAGCCCAAGAAGAGGGGGGTCTACAATGAAATAAAAATTCACTGATCACATAACCATGGATTGAAGGGCTTAGAGCATATATACTAGGATTTTTTTTTTAATTTAAATGAGAATTTTTGAGATTTGGAAGCATGTCTAGGCCCAGAGCTGTTGTATGACTCCCAATTTGAGCCTTGAAAGCATTCAACATTACACAACCTTTCAGAATTTTCAAGAAGTTTTTGAGCAGCACTCATATCTGAAAAGTTGCTCTTATAATGATGGCTGAAAGCAGGCCACAGAAGTATATTTGTCATAAATAAAGCTCTTTGTGGGCGTTAATTATATTTTTTAAGTAAAAAAAGTGAAACAAAAGAAAAATACTCAAATTGTTTTTAAGACTTTGGTATTGCTTTCTTTGATCCTATGGTTCAAACACTCTTTTACCTTTATTTTTTTTCCACATGAGGCCATTAGAAGTCTCATAATGGGTAAGATTCTCTCCTGTATCACCACACATGAAAAGACAAAACAAAAGGAAACAAAATCCAAGAGCACCAAAAGAAAACTTCCATCACAAATTATATCCCAACCTAAGGAATAGCCTAACATCCTCAGCAGCTTCTATAGGTATTTTTGCTTGTATGTTATTGACCAAGAGTGGCTGTGACCTGACATTTAGGTCCCTTAAAATTGTATTATTGCTTGCCCTGCTTATTTTCAAGAAGTCATATTATCACTACTTAAAGACCAGGGCAATCTCCAGGCAAGTCTGCTGAGGTGGGCTCCAGAGGTCTCTCCTGCCTCAACTTAATGTTGCCTTCTCTGGACCAACTTGTATCACCTAATAATAGGCTGATCACATAGAACTTTTTCATCTAAAGTCACTGATTAATATTCATACTTCGTGTGCTATTTCTCCCTTGGGTGGTCTGGGCCCTCCCTCTCAACCTTCTTTCCCTCCCATGACCACATCCTACCCATTCTTCAGGTCATAAAGACCAGTTTAAATACTGGTCTCTAAACACTAGTCTTTAAACACTTCTCCAATTTCCTGCAGGAGACCAGCCCGCTGCCTCATCTAAACTTCCACACTGTGGTGAGGAAAATAGTTTGTCAGGCCGGGATTCATTCTCTCTTCTGGTAGGAGCACTTCTATTTGCCACTGGGCGACTTCTCTCTCACCCTCTGACTTGTCTATATAGTACAGGTGGAGCCAACCCGTCTTTTTCTCCAGCCCTCAGCTCTCAAGATGGGAACTTTAACTCAGTGAGACTCACTTCTAGAACTCTAGTTACAACTTTTGGAAAAGAGCTCTCTTTACACTGCATTTGCTAAACTAGTAAGAGGTCAGCTTAGATCAATCTAGTCACCTCAAGAGGTGAGCCTGTCCCAGAATGAGGACCACAAAGAGTCATATACCAGAGGAGAGATTTATAAGATGTGAGTACCTGGATTCAACTGCCAGTCCTTTTCCATCCTGTGAGTCATCGCATTCTTTTTTTTATTTAAAGTTCAATGGATTTCTGCCCCCTGCAACCAAAAGAGTAGATATGTGTACTTGCTTACAGCCCTTCTCACATTCTACAATTAGTGCCCATCTGATCTCCCCAACTGGTCTGGGACTTCTCAGTATCTTCTCAATATTAGTTATGGTTAGAGTTAGAGTTAGGATAAAGGTTGAGTTTATGACAAGGTTTGGGGTTAGAGCTAATTTTGAGAGTAGGCTTTAGATTTGAATTAGGGTAATGTTAGAATTAGTGTTAAGTTTTGAGTTATGTTTAGGCTTAGGGTTTGAATTAGAGTTAGGTCTAGTGTTAGGGTTAGGGTTGAGGTTATGATCAGAGTTACCATTAATGGTAGAATTAGAAGTACCTTTGAGGTTTGGGTTTAAATTAGGGTTACTGTAAGGGATAGGTTAAAGGACAGCATTAGGATTGGTTTTACACTTTGAGTTCAGATTATTTTTAGAGTTAGGGTTGGAGTTAGTTTAAGGTTAGGGTTAGGGTTAGGCTTGGGGACAAAAATGTGTCCTCTCAATGCCACCATGATAACTTTTGGCTAATAATGGCTCCCCCATAATTTTTGGAAGAATGAATAAAAGAAAAAGCTCATTTATTTTTGGCCAATTATGTTGTTGTCATTTAAGTGCCACCCACTTGATGAAATTGGTGCTAACTCATTCTTTATGTTCATCTACAGTACACTCCAATATTTCTCAAACTCTCGTTCTACCGCCTTCCTTTGCCTCCTTTCCCTACATTCAAACCCTGGTGCCTCACGCAAACCTCCTCCCAGCTGTCTGAAGTGGCGCAGGAACCCATGAACAACAAAGCCCCCAGAATTTCTGGATGTCTAAAAAATAGCTGTGAGACTGAGAGGCTGTCAGGGGTGGGCTTGGCAGGAATAGGTGGGAACTCCTTTGAGAAGCCATGTGAAAAGTCTCAGTAAATCAAGAGTGGAGAGCTCAGGGTGTCGGTCCTGGCATGGTGTAGGCAACCCACAGGCCAGAAGCTGAGGCTACCTCTGAGATATCTAATGCAAGGGGGAAACAATTTGTTTCAATGCTATATGCATCATAGAAACTTGTGAAACTTGGAACCTGAAGAGTTACCCCCAAAGATAAAATATCTTACAATTCAACTTGGAAAAATCATTTAAATTATTTTTAAGTGCATAGTTCAGTGGCACTAAGTACATTCACATTGTCATGTAGCCATCACCACCATCCATTTCCAGAACTTTCTCAGCTTCCCAAATGAGACCCTACCCAGTAAACAGTAACTTCCCATTCCCTTCCTCCCCCAGCCCCTGGTAACCATGGTTTTAACTGTCTGTATGAATTCGGCTGTTCTAAACACCTCATGTAAGTGGAATCTTACAATATTTGTCCATCCTATCAGTGTTTTAAAATTGGTTTTAAAATAGTGTCCGAGAGAGAAAAAGAGTAGCCATCCAGCCTGGAAGTCACCCCAAGAGGAGCCTATTTCAAGGCCAATGCTGTCCGCACTCATGTGTGTCACATACACTGTACGCAGTTAAACATACATTTTACACACACGTGAAGACATCTACACGACATGTACACAATGCACGTGTGTTCCTCAAACAACACACACTGGCGCCGCTCCCACATTTCCCCTCAGATGTGGAACGACTGGCTGTCCTTGGCGGATGTGTGTTAGAATCACCTGTGGGGGGGGTGGTGAATAAAAATACTCATTCTCGGGTCCCATCCACAACTGAATTAGTGTCTCTAGGTCAAGTTCCCTAGCTTTAGAATTTTAAGAAACCCCTGCAAGCGATCCTACTGTACAACACAGCTAAGAACTCTTGTTCCGGACAATCCTGCAGAGCCAAGTGAGTACCAGGCTGCAGTGGAATTTGATTCGTTTCAGGATGTGAATCAGTGTGTCCTTCAGAGCAACATCAGCTCCCCAATCCTCCCAACTACCTGAGCATCCTCCCCCCTAACCGGTCCTGCCCAGACCCCTGCCCACACCCCTGTCCAGACACACACATGGACCATGGCCCAGAGCTCAGCAGACGGGCAAGGGCCCACTGTCAGCAGCCACTCTGCCACTCTCACATGTCCTTCAACGAAGCGCAGCCTGGTGGGTCCAGACCCGGTTCACTCTGCCACCACACCAGAACCTGTGGACTCCAACTGTGAAGCTGAGAAGAAAGCAGCTGGTTTCTCCTGCTGGGCAGCAGCCCCTCTTATAAGCCCGAGCTGAGCGATGAGCAGCAATCCTTCCCTTTCCACCACAAATGCGTCTCTCAAAATTACTGTAAAAATACATGCTTGCGTAAGGCACAATTGCTGACTTGTGCTTGTACTTGGAGAGTTGGCTATTTAAAAATATTATTGATAATGTAAAAAACAAAAATATTTTATAATACAATAACTTCACATTTTATTGTATTTTTCTTTTATATACTAGCATGATACACATTCCATGTGACATTTCAAAATGATGTTCTTAGTATGTGCTATATGTTAGTCATTTGTAAGCCCCCTGGGCCCTTAACACATGAAGAGTGGCCTCCCGAGATCGTAGGTAATTCTAAAGGCTAAGGGGCTGCTCTGGAGTCCAGGTCTAGTAATGTCGATGATCAAGCGCCAGACCTACTTGAGGCCTCCCCAAGCCATTTGTCTTAAATTGGTTTCTTTGGACAGAAGCTAAAGCCGGTCCTTTCTTCCTGTGATCCTTGTCCTGGGACAGCCCGCTGGGTGGGCAGTGAGGCAGGCAGGGTAGGCAAAGACGGGGCGGGTTATAGAGACAAGCACTCATGTGACTGAGAGACAGCGTTCTCATTGTTTCCTTTGCAAGAGCTGAGCTGATGTGTAAGTCCCAGACTTGGAAGGCTACATTTGGAAGAAGAAGAGGGTGTACACATGAAAGGTGGAAATAAAAATAGCACTGTTTACCCAGCATTTTTTTTTCATTAACTCTCTCAAATTAAGCACAGGACTGGGAGGAAACAATGTATTTTTGGTAACAGAAGATACAACAGGGCCCCTTTGGCTTCTGACCAAGGAAAGATCCAAAGGCAGAATGTTCTGTGGCTGTGCTCAGGCCCAGCTGAAGTCAGGCCTGGCCTTGGTTGGTAGTGGGCACGAAGAGCCAGGGAAAGCTTCCCCAAAGTGGCCAGGTCCACTGTGGGGCAGGAAGGGAGAGGCCCTGCCTGAGGTTCCCCACTGAGTTTGGCTTTCTGCTGTGGGATCTCAGACAGTCTTCCTGCGGCCTGTTACGGTGGAGGGATTTCCTTGAATTAATGAGTGCAGCCTGGTGCCTGGCTCCCTGGAATTCTGGCACAGTGTGTGGCAAACTGGGCACTGCGGTAAGGCTCCCACCAGGGTGAAATTCTTCCCAGGCTGCCCCACATCCTCTCAGCTCAGCTGCTTCTCCTCTCACAGC